CTTAAATTTAGATATGATGTGGGCTTAAGTACATACGAAGTTAGTCTCTGTATATGTTTGTTTTACCTTTATATGAATAAATTTTAGTCTAGAAAGCACTTTAAGAGGAGCAGAATGTTAAAAGAGTACTTCTTTTTCATATAAAAGCGAGTACTACTTCTATATAGAATATTGGTTTATGAGGAGAGATTAAATATTTGGAGTTGAGGAATGGGAAATAAAATGTTTTTGGGTTTATCTGCAGTAGGATAAGATGGAAGAGAGAGCACTAACAGCTGAGATGGCTGGGCATTTCCTTGTCTCCCTTGCTCAGAGCTGGGTTAAGCAAATTTTTCTGATAAAATAACCTATGCCTTTTAAATGTATGTTTTAACATTCTCTGTGTATATAAAAATAATTGTGTAGATTGTGAAAGTTCTAATTGTAGAGAATATAAAAATTATGGCTGTCTGAATACCCTGGTCCTAATGTTTGTTCTACGCTTTACATCCGTGCGCCAGTATGACATTCCATCATCCCCCATTCTCAGGCATGGGGATGGCCTCATTGTGCTCTGAAGTCTGTGGGAGATAATGGATTGGAAGATTGTATGTATTCTAGCAGGATTGCCACAGTGGAGGACAATTAGTGCTGAGAACCTACCTCCAAGTATTGCCCATCTCTTTACCTCTGAGAAATAGTATTGGTCCTCAGACTGAAAAATGTAGACTCGTCTGGTCCTATCAACTCCGATATTTTTGAGAGATAACATTCTCCCCCTTCCACACTTGTGAGGAAACACTCACTCCCAGGCTTTGAGGGCTTTCCATGTCCCAGGTGACAGACAGCTAAAACCCCTGAACACAGTAGATGTTGAGTGAAACTGAAAAAATGCTCACAACCAGCATCCTTTCTGCCTGCTCATAACAACACAATATAATAATCCTGAGCAGGAAGAATTAGGGAGAGCAGATGTGTATAATGGGCCTTGTGTGCATTTGCAGATTATTGATCTACTGGAACATCATTTGTTCATTACCCTGCTTTCACTGACCTGAGAACATAAACACATTCTGGTGCTGCACAGAGACCTTTGTGGGGAGAGGGCGTGCAGTATGGTTGATGTGGGTACCACACTGTGAATCTGAAAGCTGGTGTGTATGTCTTTTGTGGAGAGTTGGGAAGTACAGAATTTGTGAACGATCATGGTGTTTAGTGGTTTGTATTGGGTGTAAATTAGATGATTATTTCTTTGTTGTTTATAGATTAAGTGATTTAAGTTAGAAGGAAGTGTTTAATGTAGGATTTGTTTGTCAAATCTCAGTGCGGGGATGGTTTTTTGTGGACAAGCAAAGGTGAGTAGCTCAATGTTCTATATTGTTCTTTCTAAAAGCAGTATGAAGTTGCATCTTTTGATTCTTGTGGAAAGTAAATTATTTAACAGTTCATTACTAGCATAATTTTGCTTATGGTAAGAGTTTTGGGCTGGCTTTCTAAGGAAACAGTGTATGTGATTGACTGACAGTGCAGTTGTGGTTTGCCACGATTGACTGACAGTGCAGTTGTGGTTCCCCTTGTTGTCTCTCCTTCTTCCCACTTGAATAATTTCTGAACTCAGTGGTCAATGTCAGTTGCATTTGATAGAGTTCAAAAAATTGCTGAGAGACTAAAGTTCCTACAAACATGAATATCAGTAGTTAGTTAGAGAGAAGTTACTGCTTTCCTGAAGGGAATGGTACAGAGTGAGCTCAGTTTACCCATTCTGTTTTTCTGTCGGCTTTCTGCTCACTTGATTCCTACATGATTTTTGTTTTGACCACTATGTGTTCTTGTTGGGGGTGTTGGGAGGAACAAGAAAGGCAGAGGATTTAATGCTGTTGTGGAACTGGTAGAGATTAGGGTAAGAGGAATGCAGATCTATAGCAACTTGTTAATATTTCAAAATAACATTGCAAATTGGAATGTCAGGGCTTGTATTTTCATTACAATAATTTAAAAATACAAGATAAATTTATAATATAATGACTATACCAGATGCTTTTTGGATCAATAATACCTGGTCTCCATCCCAGAGATCTTCAACCCAAAAAATAGAATCATAGAACAGCCCAGGTCAGAATGTACCTCAAAGGACCATCTGGTCCAACCTTTCATGGGAGATGGAGCCTAGATGAGATTATCTAGCACCCTGTCCAACCTCATATTGAAAATCTCCACTGATTGGCACTCTACCACTTCCTTGGGGAGGTTATTCCAATGATTGATTGTTCTCAATGTAAAAAAAAATATTTCTTACATTGAGATGAAACCCCTCCCAGTGCAACTTGTACCCATTGTCCCATCTCCATGTGGCTCTTGTAAAGAGTAAGGCTCTGTCCTCTTTGTAGCCACCCTTTAAATACTGGACTACTGTGATGAGGTCCCATCTAAGCCTTCTTTTCTCCTGAGAGAAAAGACTTAACTCCTTCAGCCTTTCTTCAGAGGGCAGGTTCTCCAGCTCTTTGATACTTAAACTATAAACTACAAAGTCAATATTGGAAAGCTGTGAAATTTCTTCTCTCTTTTAACCATCATTTTTGTATATGGTTTATATGGAGTATATATATTCCAACAAACCCTGAGCTGTTGGAATCAACTGTCTGCAGTTGCAAAGTTCAATTCCTGTAGTGTTAGGGCCCCTGGTATCACCTTGGACATGTAAAATGAAACCTCTGGTTATGGAAGTTGGATGTTACATTGGCGATAAACAGCAAATTTAAACTACTGTCTTACGGGAGTATGTTGATCTTTCTCCCTCTCTGCTTCCTATTGTATGTCTGTTTGCAGTCCATTTTATTTTGTTTTTCGGTCTCTCAAATTTAAACATAGCTTTCTGCTCCTTTTCTCCATTTTACCCATCACTATTTAATCTGCTTACTGCTAAGTCCTTTTTTCTTTTTTTCTTTTTTTCTTTTTTTTTTAATTTTTAGTTTTCTCCAGAAGCTCTTTAGAATGGTTTTATGCTTTCTTTGGCATCCAGCACAGGGGTAGTCTTGAGAGTTCCCACTCCCTCCCCTCTCTCTGATGTGTTCAAGGTAAAGGAAGAATAAACTACCAATACCTTTGGAGTATTAGTAATCTGTGGAGGAGTATCTTCCCTTAAGTGGCTAAACACTTGCAATCTTTTTATGTGCCCTTCTGTCCCAGTATTTACAATATTTAAGTTTTCCTAGCTTGCAAAAAAACGCCAAACCAAAACGACAAAACAAACTGAACACCGCCACCCCCCTTCCCCAACCCACCCTCTAGTTCTCCTTTTCATCTCTCTTGTCCTTCTGTTACCGCTCCAAGTTCTTTTCCTGTCCTTCTGCATACTCTGGGAAATTGAAATAGGAAGAAAATCTGTGCTCTGCTGGTCTCCTGTTATCTTTTTAACACTTGAGTTTAAAAACCTCCTGTGCTGTAAGATTCAATAGTGTATGTGTGGAAGTGGAAGTTCAGATAACTTTTTTTTTTTTTTTTTCCCCTTCTTCATTTTTTTTTTTTCTTCCATAGGGTTTGCTTGCAGTTTTAAAAAATAGAAGCATAATAGACGTATTGCCTGCAGCACAATACAATAAGAAAACATAAGCAAAGATTAAAGTGCTGATCTTCTAGCACTTAAGAAATGCTTTTGGAAAAGCCATACTGCTAAGATAACTTATTCTGAAAGCACTCTATTGGTATGCTTGTGATTTTAAACTTTTGACATAATGCTTGCCGTGTATGAAATTAGTATTGGCTGTGTTACCTGGCATTTGGAAGAAGGTTTCTGAGTCACATACCGTGCTTCATTGCTCTGCCAAATTATGAGAAAAAAAAAAATCAGTATTTTTTTCATAGTTCTCTAAATTACAACTGATGGCGAGACTGGCTTACAAAAGTGCTGTGGGTTTTTCTACAGTGACATCTGTGGAGTGTATATATAGTAGGTTCCCAAGTTGGAAGCCAGAAGAGTATGTGGGAAGTGTGAAAGGGGGATGGGGAGGGGAGCAAACAAGAAATTCAGACAAAAGGAAATTGTTGATGCAAGTTAATGCCTTTTCTTAGTGATATTGATAAATTTCTGCTGCTGTTCAAGCGGTCTAAATTATTCTCCTTCTGATTCTGTTTCCTTTTGCTTTTCTCCTGTTGCCTGGAAAACATGAGTGGAATCTAGTAGGACAAGAGGCTGCTTTTTCATTGTTTTGTGGCTCTGTTGCTAGCTATTGTCCTCTTGGCTCCGGCAGTTCATGTCAGTCTTTGTGTGGAGTAAGAAAAATGTTTTCGTTTTTTCTTTAAAGATTAAATTTCTAGACTGTGTGGATTGCTTTTATTTGAAAAGCAAGCGGTGCTAACTTAAGAGTATCTCCCACCAACTAACGTATTTTTTGCTTGCAATGTTACCTTTAGCACTTTGGCCATTCGGATGTGCTTATTACATTTGTGGGCTAGTTTGGGGGTAAAGCAGCCTTGAAATCTAGTTTCATTTTTTGATGTAATTTGTTTAAAACAAAGGAACTCTAAGCAAGACAGTGCATTTCTTGAGTTTTTCTGTCAGGAATAAAAAACAGATCACTGATAATGTGGTAGGTTTTCAACAGTTGGAAATAAAGCCAATTTTGCTCTTAAGTAGGAGCAGAGCTCTAAAACCCAGTAAAGTAATGCAGCCTTGAGCAGTGTCACTGACATCTTGTCTGTTGCGGCTGACTTAACTCTTGTTCTTTACTACATCACTAATTATTTATAAATGAAGATTGTTTTTGAGAACATTCTTGAAACAGAACTGAAATGTAGCTATTTGCTAGTATGAAAACACACTTGTGGATGCGTAGGGGAGTGCAAAAAAATGAGACAGTTCTTTTGTAAGTAACAGTTCTTGCATGCAGTTTTTATATGATCCTACTTTATTGCCTTTATTTTTACTGTACCAATTAATTATGTGGTGGCACAGAAAATATATTGAAAATGGAAGATACTGTAACTTTTTGATTATCTGTTGTGTTTTTTTTTTTCTTTTTCAGGCATCTATTAACAAGCTAAAAGTGACAGAACCATGGCTCAGTTTCCAACACCTTTTGGGGGTAAGTTATTTATAGTGTATTCTTACCTATTCTTATATGCAAAAACTCTGCATAAATCTATTGCTTTCCAAATATGTTCTGTGTTTATGGATAGTATATCTTTCTGGGATGATAGTTTGTCTGATTTGTAATGGTTTTGTCCTACAGTTTGTAACTGTAGGGCCAATTTCAGGCCACTCAGCCCCTGGTAGTAGGGCATAGCCTCATTGTGCATGAGTTGTGGCTAAGAAGTGGATATGCTTTTTCTTTGAGGGTTCCTGGATGCTTCAATTGCTAAAAAGTACAGCAGGTGCCTTTGGATGCTATCACTTCAAATTTCTTTTCCTTATTGTCCCATAATTCCAGTTTAGATTAGATCAAAGGTGCTGCATTTTTTTAGCTCTCCATTTATAATGGGGAAAGGTATGGCATCTTGAACTTCAGTCTTTTCGAAAGATCTGGGAAGGGCCCTGGTAGTGCAACAGAGACTTTAATTTTGCTGTTCACACAAAAGACATTTTTAAGCTCAGTTTTGCAACAGATCTGAAAAAAGATTACGAAGATAAATTTCAGTTCTGAGACCTTAAGTAACTAGTTTCGTTCCACTTAAATGTTGGATCTGTTAAGGGCTTTTCTCTGGAGATTCTTGTGTGTATATGTATATTTGTGTATACATATATATATATATATACACATAAATATGTATGCACTCATACACACAGAAAAAAGTGTGTGTATATATATAAATATATATGGAAATCTAGTTTTTAGGATTGGATATAGCAAGGAACATATAGCTAGGAACATCAGATATAGCTAGAAATTTGAATCTAGTGTTAGTGTTTCAGTGGGAGACTTCAGGAAACACACGTGTTATTCAGAGTATGTTGTTAGCAAAACCCAGTCCTTGTTAGATGCGATTGGATGCAATCTCCGTCAGTCTGAAAAAGTCTGTAAAACACAACAGAGGCATCTTTTTGCATATGGTAGCTAGAACAAATGCATAATTGGAAGCTGCCATTCACTGCATTAATTTTAAGTCCAGGTCTCTGGAATTGTATCTTGTTTGGTCCCAGACTTTCTCAGTTTGGGAGTGAAACTGGCTACCGAAAGCTTTGATGAAATAAACTCACTAGACAATTTCATGGAGGATACCCTTTCAGGTCATGTAAAAAGTTGTGAACAGCTTTATTTCACCATGTTTTTCACAATTTAAAAGAAGTCACGATGTGAAAGAAATCTGCTTGTTTCGAATGAAGTATTTCCTTTTGTTTAGAGTTATGCCTGTGCTTTGCATGCACTCATACTTAAACATGGACGCACATCCTTACTGAAAATCTTGTCTTCAAAGTATTCTCCTCTGCCATCTTCAGAGAGTTCTCATTGCATTACAGATGGATAGCAGCTTTCTTTTTTCAACTTTGTTTATTACCATTTGATCTTACATCTGTTGTTCAGGATCCTGTTAACTCCAGTACATGGCTTTAGGAAGGAATTCACTATTTCTTCTCAAACAACTTTTCTCATCTGACTGCTCTGCAAAGAGGAAGTTGAAATAAGCATGTGGCTAATGTAGTTTCTGGAGTATCTTTAATTTGGTGTGGTGTGAGGGAAGTTTGTTATGATATTCATACTTGAACCAGAACCAAGTCTACCAAACAGCATCATACCTCCTCTTAGAAGAATGACAGCAAAAAGATTGTTGTAAGAAGAAACACATGGTGTAAAGAAATTTCCAATTTTTATGGGGATATTTATCATCCTTTCAAGAATGCAACATTTTCTGTTGCCTGTGATCACCAAACAAGATGCAGAGGAGATTTATGCAGTCTCCATCTTGGGAGAGCCTTCACCCCGAATGTGCAATATCTGATGTTCCTCTGCTTGTGAATACCAATGTATGATGTTTTTGTTTTTATTTCACTTCCTTTCTTTTTAAAGAATTATTCAAATCAGCTTGGGAAATGAGTATGGACAGAGCACAGCACCCAATATTTAAATTGGGGTGACTCATTGATATTCCAGAACACTGCTCATTTGAAGGATGACTAATTAATTTAAGAAAAAAAAAAAAAAGATAGGATTTTTATAATTGTTGGGAAGAATGTGGTATGGTCGACCTTCTGTCTCTTTGTCCAGGACAAGAAAATCCCCATTTCTTTTATGAGAGCCCACTGCTTCACTTTTGCAGATGTAGTGATTGCTAAACTATGTAAAAGAAAAGATGGTTAGAGGGCTTGCTGCTGCATTCAAGAATATCTTGCTTATGAGTCAATTTTGTGGTTTGGTGACTGCTTCCTTTGTATCCAAATATCTTGAAAAGCCCTACAACCTCTTCATTGGCATCCAGAATCTGAAGCCATGAATGGTGTCTTGGTGTTCAGTAAGATCTTGCTTCATGCCCTCCCATAAGTCTCATTGTTTCCTCAAATAACAAAAGATGGAAGCAAGGCAATGCCAGAGATGTCATTCGTATTTTCTGACCAAAGAGGCTACTAGGCTTGGTTGGTTTAACATTGGCTTTTTTGATGTTCATACTGTTTCAATATCAACCAAATCTCCATCTGTATTGAGTAAATAATGACGAGCATTTGTTCTAGTACAGGGGCTCCAGAGAAGAAATCACCAACAAAATATGTTTTAAAATAGTTAATAGAATACAGTTTTAGTTACTTCATGCCATAAGAGTTTTTAGATTTGGGTATTATTGCTGCCTTTGTGGAAGGATAGGAAGAGCTGTTTTTTGGGTTTGGGATTTTTTGTTGGTTCCTTTTTTTTTTTTTTTTTTTTTTTTTTTTTTGAGAGAGAGAGAGAGAAAGCAAGAGAGCAAATGATTGCAAATTTCATGTTGATTTGTTGTACTTTTTTTTTTCTCTCCCCACTTTATATTCAAGAAATTCTTCATCTGTGTAAGCTACCACATCCAGCCTTAGGATCTTAGGCTGGAGTTGTCGTGTTTCCAATACAGGGAGATGTTCATCTGCATCTGGTTGGCCTAGACTAGTTGGTCTAATCTGCATACTGGTCATAAAGTCTTAATCAACACCATTTCTTTCTGCCTGTTCATGAGAAGATGGGGAGATAATTGCTTACGTGAACTCTTGTGCTTTGGGATGTTCATATCCCAAGAAGAGTCCTGTTTCATCCCCACAGGGAGCACAGCTATGAACTCTGTTTACAGTGCCTCTGTGAACTTAATCATTAAAATTCTGGGATTTTTGGACTGATCTTAAAATGTCCTTTCTTTGAATTAGATATTATTAACCTGTCTGCTTCTAGAAATACATAGGTTACCTGAAACTGGGGTAATCAATTTTTACCAAGAATGTAGCTTTTCTTTCATTAATGAAATCTACTGTTTAAAGGAATGTTTTTTCTTCCCCTTGTCCACTTCCTTTTCTCTCCGAAGTACATTTTGCCACATGAAAATAGATTTAAATAGCAGAAAGTCAGGAGGCAGGAAATTCTCATGTTCTCCATAACTGTTGAATCTCATTCTGCCTCAGCCTGCATGAAGTCTGAAAGGTCCACAAATAGTTACTTCTTGTAACTATTTGCAGACCTTATTACCTGAAATTTAATTCCTGAGAATTTAGTGCTGCGACAGAGTGAATGCTAGATCTCCTCCTTATTTTTCTGCAAGTCTGCATTTTAACTTTTTATTACTTCAATAAAACTGTGATTCCATTAACTTAGATGCCTTCATATCATTAAATTCCTATACAGTAGGAAGGTTACAGTTACAGGAAGGTGCACCAGTGCATGTACTTCTACAGATGCTGAAATAATGATTTTTACTGGTTAGAAATTGTTGAGACAAACCTGAAACACAGTCTTAGAGAGTTCATTGGAGGTCTCAAGTGGAAATTGAGATATGTTAGCTCTGAGTACGAATAGTCTGAAGGATGAAAATGGAATGTCTGCAAGAGGAGAGAGAAAAGAGGAATTGTTGCAAAAAAAGGAGGTAGAACTGGAAAAAACATTGTGGAAGCATGGCACTGTAGAAGGGTAGTAAATCTCAACGTAGACTATATATTCATCTCCAATTTATGTGTGGTGTGAAGAATCCGGTCTGTGTAATATATTCTTACTCAGCTTTCTCATTCTCAGAATGAGAGCACGCTTTCCTGTGCTATTTTTGCCCTTGAAAAATGTTTACTATCTGGTTGAAATGGACTTTTCCTAGACAAGTAAGGAGAGTTCTTCTCTTATAATAGTACAAAACCACTTAGTACATAACTGGTTATTTGGGGTACTTTTTCAGTTAAAAGAACTTGCATTTCAGATGTGTGTCTTCCAGGAGGCAAATGACCTCCCACCCCCTAAATATCTAGTGTTATGAACTTTCTGCATTATATCCTCTGGTATGATGTCTTTTAATAGCCCATTTGTATGTTTTGATTGCACTTTGAGTAGCCTGGTTGTAACTTAAATTTTTGTATGAGCGAGATAAGATGGCTGCTAAGTACTAATTCACTTAAGTTGGTAACACTTAGCTCTGGTAAATTCATAAGTGGCTATTTAAGGATTCACGGAGCTTTCAACTATAGACTTTGGATGAACAGCTTGTAAGTGTATGTTGTTTTCAGTGGTCCAGTATGATGTGATATAATTACATTCAGAAATAAAAATAATGTAGTTTTTAGATAATGTTTCTTAGTTTAATTTCTCCATTTCTTTTGAACTAGGCAACCTGGATATCTGGGCTATTACTGTGGAGGAGAGAGCTAAACATGATCAACAGTTCCATAGTCTGAAACCAACATCTGGATTTATCACTGGTAATGAAATAGTTTTCACTTCTAATTTAATTTAATTAAATCTTAACTAATGAGTGTAAATATGTACAGAGTTGCCTGGGAGACATTTGGGTATAAGAATTTAAAAAACTGAACATGTCTTACTCATTTTATAGCCCATTTTTCATATGCCTTGCCACATAATAGAATCACAGCCCCATCTTTTCTACTATTTTTTCTGACATTTACCAGCTATATACCTGGTTTATGCCACTTGATTTTTCTGCAAGAAGGATTAAAATTATTTATAACTGTAAAGCAGTTCTGTTGTGTAGAGCCAGCTGATACTTAGAAACTGTAGAGTTAGAATTCAGGATGCGGAATCATCCTGATGCATAATAATATTTATAGTGCTTTTAATGGTGCTCAGTGAATTAACTCGCTGTACTGAGTCTGGCTGAGATGGAGTTAACTATCATCATAGCAGCCTGCGTGGTGCTGTGTGGTGCTATCTAAACTCTGATACTTAATTGAAATGAGAGGTATAGAAGTGTTCTACCTTTCTTGCTGTCTGATCCATCAAGAGGATTTCCAGAATGTGGAATCAGATTCTTAGCAGAGTCTTATCAGAGCCATGCGTGCCTCCAAGTATGCAATTTGATTGTTTCTGCTCCTGTTACATGATATTGTACAAAATACTACCCCTTTGGACCTTCTTTGATATTTAGTGCTATTTCTAGTCTGTTTACAACTTCCCTTTACAAGCTACAACATTTCCAAATACCTAATCCCTGTAATTGTCTTCTTATCCTTACATTTAATTGATAGTTGGAAAATGGCTTTGAAATACTCTCTTCCTTTCTTTAATGGTGGCTTATCAGGTTCACATCAGGGTAAAGACCACTTACTATAGTTTGTACTAGTTCACTGGCATTGTACTTCCAAAAGATCTAAGCTAGAGTTTATCTTGTTACATAGTTTCCTGGCAGAAAAAAAATTTCTTCTTCTCACAAGACACATGATTCCTGCAAAGAGAAACATTATCACAGATGAGACACTGTGAACTATGAGGTTTCCATTGCCCTAATGTGTATGCCCAGTTGACTTCATGTGGTGCAGTCTGTTGCAGGTTTAAACAATCTGTGCTTGTTGGAAATATCTGGTAGGTTTGCAAGTGAGAAAATAAGTTTAAATCTCATCATCTGTTTGTATGCGTAGCATTAAGTATTTATGGGTTTACTGTTGCTTCTGTTTTAGATATTTTTCACTCATGATTTCTTCTTTTCTCCTACAGGTATTTTTAGCATTTTCTGAAATGATGTCCTATTTATTTTGTAGGTGATCAAGCTAGAAACTTTTTTTTTCAATCTGGGTTACCTCAACCGGTACTAGCACAGATATGGTGAGTATATGGGAGGGGATTTGAGAAATTGCAGTCATGTGAAGTTTACTGGTACAGATTTGGACAATAACTGTATTTCCCAGTCTGGGGTTTAAAATCGCCGGTTTAGTTCAGCGTGCTTTCCAGAAGTCTAACAAGACAAATATGCTTTGGAGTATGTTTTAGCAGAGTTTTTAAGTTACTAGTTCAGTTATTGGAAGTAGGCATCCTTCTACAAATGGCATTTTTGAAGCTGGCAATTTTCAGGTTACTAAATGCTGTCAACTTTATTAAAACTGCACTAATACAGTTGCTAAGCCACAGTAGTCAGTATTCAAAATTTTCTAACGGATAGCCTATGCAAGACTTGCAAAATTTGTTACAAAAATTAAGACTGGCGTAGACTATTTCTATTGTAGTTGGAGGTACAGCTTGAAAGTCTGAAATTTTTACTATTCCCTGGTGAGTTTAGACAGATCAAAATCACGGACTTTTCTACAATCTGCCAGTTTCTTCCTGCAGGATTGCAATTGTTGCTGCTCCAAATTATATAACCATGCCAGACTCAGACATGCTAACTTACATAGATTATTCATAATTTACATTAATTATATTACTACTAAAATTTTTGTTGGTGCTAGAGAGAGTGAAATAATAGTGGTTTTCATTCTAGGTTGCAAAAGAGCAGCAGGGGGATGGATAACTTTTCACAAATCTGTTAACTTTTCCTCTGTTTACTGTTTGAAAGAGAGAGGAGTTTATTGAAGTTATAAAAACTTCTTGTTGTAATAAGAACTTCTAAGGGCTGAATCTTGCTCTGACTAGAGAAAAAGAATTACTTTCTTGCAAGAAAAACAATTGCTTTGGAAATATACATGCCTAAAAGAGTGGCTGGGTGTATAGGGCTTTTAAATAAATAGCGTATTTTCTTCTAAATTTATCTTCATCTTATAAATATCAAATTTGGTCTGGTTATCTTATTTTCTGAAGACTCAGTGAAAGTTCAAATGTCCCTTTGGAACTTCTCTTGCCTCTTAATTAAACAGGGAAAGAAGTTTTGTCTTAAACAAGACATCCTTTCTCCAAAAATGTTCCGTAGGCATTAGCTTTAAATAGGTGTTAACAAAACTAAACAGTTGTAAATAGTCTGACTAAAATTCTCTTCCTCTCTGAATTATTCAGTTTTTCAGCCTCTTGAGAGGGAGAGAATCATTCCACTAGTTCTGTAGTTGTCATAGAGACAAGACCTGAACTTGCACATTTTTTTAAATAAAGCTGAACTAAAACTTATTCATGCTGCCTTTATAAATCATAAAAAAGCATGTAGACATCTCTTTTTCACTGTCTCTTCTTTTTTCGATCAGATCTGAATTAAGAAAAGTAAATATTTAAGTAAAAATCTAGATGACATATATATTCATAGTTGGAATTAGAATAGCCAAGTAGGAAAATAGTCACGTAGTGGTAGTAAGACCTCTTAAGAAGACCAAAAAACAAAAAAAGGAAGGAAAAAAAAAAAAAAAAGGAAAACCCCCTTCTTTTCCCACAACTCGAATTATTTAACTCTTGATCTCTCAGTGAATGTTTGTTTGTAACCTACCATAGATTACTGCTGTCCCACTGAAACAATAGAAGTTAGACTGTTTAGTGGCAAGAAGTCCTTTGCAGCCTGCAAAGGACGTCACAATATGCTCAAGGCTGCATTGAAAAATGTGAGTCATTGTTTGTCTTAGCTCCCAGGGGTAAGATCTCAAAGTGGCATCTTTGCTTTGTGGATTAATAGCAATATTCTAATGTTGTCTATCTAAATCTCTGTTAACATTGATATAGATCTGTGAGTACTTTAATAGAGGGGGCAGTTGTGGAGTAATAAGCCCAGAATCCCTGTAAGAGATAGGAGCTGCATAGAACTTCTTTTCTATCAGTATTCCTTACTTCTTGAATAGATGGATTTTTTTTAATTTTTTTTTTTTAGGTAGTGTTTGATTATTAGAGGGAGAGAAGGTGAGGTACAACAGTCTTTAAGGAGGAAAGTTATTATTCTTAGTTAAAGCAATTTGTAAAACTCTTCAAATTAATTTTTTAATTCTAGAAATATGGATGTGTATGTATGTTGTGTTTTGGTAGTATTTTCCTATTCTTAATGAGTCTGCTAATTTTGAATACAGTTGGTCATATTAATCTGTCTTCAAGATAGGAGCCTAGCATTTGTTTCATAAAGGATTACCTACAGCTGTATGTAGACAAGCTTTCACTAATACAAAGTTTCCTCTGTTTTGTTGGCTGTGGAAGTTCTTGCATAGAAAAACACAACTGGCAAAGGAACCGGAGCGGGAATTTGCCTAATGAGTAATTGGCCATATTGCTTTCAGAGCTCTCTGCAGGAAAAGCAAGCCCTGTATCCCTATGAGTTTCTGAACATATTATCTCCTGAGTAAGAGAATTTTGTTTGTGTAAGTGAGCAGTATAAGGATTTTTACTGTCTTATATTTTCATTTTAATTAAAATTGAGTTACTGGTTTTTTATTGTAAAAAACTTTCATGAGAACTTCAAGAAATGCTAGCTAGTGAGCTGAAGTACCAGTTAAATGTCATCTGCCTCAAGAGCTGCTTTGAGGATATTCTGCAGGTGATGTAATGGTTTTCTAAGATGAGACTTTAAGGAGTATAACTTATTTTAATTTCTGCTATTAATCAAAACTTTCCCAGAATTAATATTCCTTAAAAATAGTAGCTCCATGGTTTTTAGCATGGAGAATCCCTGAATCCCTTCTACTCATCATCCATTTAAGAAAAAAGTCTCTGGGACCTCAGTGGAGGAAATTAGTGGAATTATTATGGTCTGTCATGACAACTTCTTTACTATTCTACCCTTTGCAGGCTTGGAGTCTGCCAAGCTGGTAACCTATTAAGAAGCCTCTAAGTAGGCTTTGAATTGAGATTGCAACGGCTCGGAAGATAACCGTTTTTAAGTAGGCAATAATCTGGCTTTCTTTTAAAGCCCTTATGAATGGTGGCCTCAAAAAGATCTTCTGTGTAGCCTGTCTCTCTGGAATTAAATGAGAACTAAAATAATCAATGCCATCTGTTTTTCATGTGTGTAGAGTTACTTATTTTTTCAGGACAGACTAAAGCCGTTTGTTGACTTACCTATTTCTGACATACGCTTCCCTCATAACTTTCTTAAATTTGTGTCTAAGTGTGGGAGTGAAAGATTATGGGTGGCAATTCTGTGAGTTGTAACTCTTGCTATACATACATTGATTAAGTGACTGATGCTAAAGACCTAATTTCTCCTCTCTAATTGTGGCTGAGTTTTATAATGCAATATGGGATTGTATAATCTAATATGGGAATGTAAAGCTAAACAAATCCAGATTTTTTGAACTGCAAGGAGTTTTCCTTGTTTCAACACTCTGTGCTATTTTCATGGAGATAGGTGTTCTGTAGGCTAATAATAAGCATATTTTACAGAAAAAAAAACGGTGTATGCTAAGTTTCTGCACATCATAAATGCTAAAATAATCAAGTTGTCTTTGCATTCTGCAGAAAAGAGGAGAGAAAGGATGAGGAAAAGGTCTGTAGGGGAAGGATTTTGTCAGCACTGGAGACCTGATATTGTGATGAAGCCCACTGCAGCTATTCTCATTAGAAAACCCCTGTTATAAACACATGCCTGTTCTATAAAATATGATAAATATTTACTCATTGCTTAATCCATTTACTGCTCTTCATTGGTTCCGGCCAGACCTTAAATGAAACACACTTAAAGGCACTACATTCTTCCAAATTTCATTAGAAGCAGAACAGTGAAATTAGCTAGTGTTTCCTGTCAGCCACTCACTACATGTAAGGTGATGTTGATTCAAAAGTAGCACTGTAATCTAACAGCATGACACTAGGTTCAGTAATTAGAAATGAAAATTTGTCCTATTTTTGCACTAAGGATTTTGTCAGACAAAAGCTGATTTTTGTTAACATGCTGTAAAAATGTGTATAAATTCTGTAGCGTGCACATAATTTTTCCCACTGAAATTTGTGCTGTTAGTTTAAATAACAAAGCCATTGACTGGAGTAAATGAGTTGAACAGAAGGTCAGATGTTAAATGAAAAGCTACTGATGGTTATGTAAATAGGAGTTCAATTAAAGCAACGAGACTAGTGCACATCGAAGTTTCTTATTGCTGGACAATTAATACTTTCTCATGTAGAATGCAAAGAATTACTGTGTTCTAGCAGTACACTCTGTAAATGTACGTGGACAATCAAGGTCATCTACGGTGTGGTATTTTCATGGTTATGTGTATAACAGGTTGAGGGATTCTGCATGTGCTTTAGTAATGGAAGGGCTTAAATTTTATATATCAAAGTATTTGCAGGTGTAGAAGTCACTTAGGCCGAACAAGTAAGACTGTTATGAATACAACTTGAGTAATTTATTTGCTTAAATGCAAAGATGTAAGGAACATTGTGACTATTTAATTAAGCTGTTGGTTCCACTTGGTCACTGTGGAGCTGACTGACCTCTCTGTATATTGAGGAACAAGTTGCCTTTGGGAGGACCACTGACTGCTTGAAGTGAGCTATATAACCCTGGTTTTTACTGCCTGTTTTCACTGGGCATCTGACAGAAAAATGGCTAAGAAAGTGTTGAAGTAAACTTTCATTAAAACCCACACATGTTTTCCTCCTTGAATATTTCTGAATTTTCTTCAGTTGCCTTCAAGAAGGTGTGGTGTCTGCTTGCAAACATCAATTAAATGAAGCTAATTATTTGCTCCTGGTTTCCATTGTTCTTAATGCTCTGTAATTTTCTAATAAGGCTTTCTTACCCTTCATAATCATTCACTGTATGTTCATTTACTTCCTAGTATGAAACCCACAGAAGGGAGCACTTCAGAAAATACATTTAGCCATTAAGTTTCTGACACTCTAACATTCTAAATATCTTTTGCCTCTTGAATTTTTCGGGTTTGTAAGCCTTGCAGCATGCATTTCTCTTAAGTGAGACTTTTATAAATCTAACATCACTGTTTATAGGTGATGACTAGTGGATGTTATGTGAACTGTTTTCGTTGTAAAAAGTAAAACGTATATGAAGAAGAAAATGAAAGTGTACTGAGTAATACTGTTCCTTGTAAGCCTAAGTGATGATTTTGGGCAGAAAAATTCTACAGCGTGTTGTAGGACAGTTCCATGCTATTGTTGAGGAACAGACAGAGTGGGTATTCTCAATTGTCATAGTTAAACTGTGAATTCCTTCAAAATGTGTTTTTTTCAGGAATTTAAAGTTGATATAAACTTTGCTGATGTAGAGAAAATTTTAGAGAGATGCAAATATGTCTTTTTGAGTTTTATACTTGTTTCATTGTATACGACAAAAAGCACTACATACCCCATACACGTTTCCAGGTTTGCACATTGTGGCTTGTGGTGTGTATGCCCCATTGGACAGAAAGATATGATGGAGGCTAATAAACTCTTAGTATTTTCAGTGTCCAGAGAAAGCCATTGTACATGGATAACGTCAATAACAAAATGCAAGAAGTCTACTTTGTGTTTTTAACTATTTTCTAGAAGTAACTATAGCTCTTCTTTTGTAACATGCATTTTTCATTAACAGCTGTTGCAGTCTATTCTTGCTGTTTCTTAACACTCATAGGAGAGGGGCTCTTTTGCCTTTGCTAGGGTTCTCCTACTCATCTCTGCAAGTTGCATGAAAACAAAACATGACATCTTCCACTTTAAATTAGCCTGACAGTACATCAGGAGTTACCAGTGTCTGGGTTACTCTTTGTGGAAGAGTGATCAGAAGCTGAGACTCTAGAGCAGTGGTGTTCTGCAAGGAATAGGGGATACCTATTCCAAATTTGTCCTTCTCTTGGTCCAGGGTTGCTGCGCTTGCCTTCCTTCTTCCTTCTGCTGGTTGGACTACCACATATCAAGTCCAACTGCTACAGTAGGATCTTTTTAACTGATAATTTGTCAAATGAACCACATACTAAGCAATCATGATTTAAGCTTGAATCCAAATCACAGTATGCTAGGTTTGTCCCAGAATCAGTTTTGACTAAATTCAGGCTTCCGAGGACTTGCTGGTAGTGGGATTAGATGAAGGTTTAAAGTTACTGGAGTAGGCCGATTTTAATACATAAATACTGCTGCCAGATTTTCAGTAGCATTATCTAGCCTTGTGACATCAAAATTGGTGGATTAAGACAGCTACACTGCTGAAAATGCTGTCTTATAAGTATTGGGAAGGGTTGGAGTGTCCCCATTTTTCAGGAAATGCTACTGATGATCTAAACCAGGGGAAGCTCTTAAGATGTATAGCTGACCTGTGGCAACCTGACCTGTGGCAACCCCTGCTGGGATCTGCCACTTTGCTGCATTTCGCTAGGGTTTTTTTGGTTGGGTTAAGAGGGTTTTCATTTTTTAATGCTTTTCCTGGACTGCTTTTCCCTAACTGCATTTACCTGGCTGTCTACTTATTCAATTATATCAATTTATACTTATTCAAAGTATCAGTTATAAATAACTGTTGATTATTGCAGTCTGTTTTAAATAACTTTTCACATACTTACATGAAAGCTTTCATTGATAGGGGTTTGACCAGAAATAAAGCTCTAGTTTAACTAGACTGCCTGGGTCCTTTGTGTTGTCATGTGTGTGGCATTGAAAAGTACACATGAACTTAAAAGTATGTATTATTCCTGTATGAAATGTGTCCTTATTCTTCAAATGAGTGCAAAGAAATAAGCAGAATGTTTAAAATTAAGTTTACAACTAATTACATTATTAATCTGCATTTACTATGGGTTTTGGTTTGCAATTGCAGAAACTAACATTCTTCTTCCTGCTTCTCTTCCCCCCAACTTCCCAACCCTATTCCCTGCTGAGCATGGTTTTCTTAACCATCAAATGAAGAAACAAAAGCAGACTGTTTAAGTCAGACTACTTTACATGAAAGCCTATTCAAGGTCTAGGCTCAATGTTTTATCTTGAGTACTATTGTTTAACTGAAAACACATTTGTACACTTGCAGATGTAATGGTGTTTAGTAAAGTGCACGGATTTAAAGAGTGTTTTCTTTTAAGTGTAGCTAAAATACAGATCTGCAGAGTAAGTCGTTTGATTCCCCATGGTGCTGTTTGTAGTACCATGTAGTTTCATTTGTGTGATTTTGCAAAGTATTTGTAGAAGTATATTAACCCTTCTTCTCTAGATGCTGCACTATAATTCTTCTAAGAGTTGAAAAGTGACTTAAAAAATATTTATTAATCACTCCAAGAAAGAACTCAAGTAACTCTTAGTTTAAACAGTTGTTTCATGACTGTTTTTAGCCTGGCATAGTTATTTTGAGTGGAAATTAGTACACATGTCTGTGTGCACACTCCTAGGTCAGTTCCTGAAGTTCATAATTTAAGAATCTAACTGAACATGGTGTATTTTGTAGGGCTCTAGCTGACATGAACAATGATGGGAGGATGGATCAGTTGGAGTTTTCAATAGCTATGAAACTTATCAAATTAAAACTACAAGGTTATCAACTCCCATCTGCACTGCCTCCTGTCATGAAGCAGCCACCTATTGCTCTGCCTAGTGCACCAGGATTTGGTAAGCTCTTTATTTTCCTCCTTGCTAGCTTGTATTGTAGCACCCTAAGTTAAATTTGATTGTAGTTTTGCTGTTTCTAGAAGAAACTTTTAGGGAAAAGTACTTCTAAAATTACATGGACTCAAAACCAAATGCTGCCACATGCATGCCTATGGCTCAAAAAAAAAAATCTCAATGAGCTTTTGGCACCCAAGCATACTGAATAACATAACCTGAGGTCCTGTTTGCTTCAGGTCTTACTATGCTCCCCATATGTTGCAAACAAAAGTGTTTGCAGGGGAAAAACAATGGGTCACATAGCAGGGCTGGTGCATTCCAAAGTGGTGGAGTTTTTATTTAAACTGTTATCATTAAGGGATCTCCACCTTTGGCAAGATTAGCTATGTTTTTCTTGACTTTTTACAGGTCATGGCAGTAATGCACCCCTCTGCTTTTATTTTATGAACAGTGCTGCACTAATATTAGCTAGAACAGCTGCTGATTAATTTCTCTTGGTTAAGTACTTCCAAGGTTGCCATCATTTCAAGGAAAAGTGTAGGGAAAATGGGATGGTGAGAGGAAAATAACTAAATGAAGATGAACCTCATGTCTGACACCTCAATGTTCTGCTGTGTTCTGTAGTGAGAGGTTCTTTAACTTCCTGTTTTAGTCGTTGCTGTGACTCAAGCTGATTGGTGCCTGAGAATCACCGATGGCTTTAGGAAATGAGAATAGTGCATATGATAAACTGTGGTGTTTGATCAGTTGTTGGTTCCACAAGTTTTTCAAACAGTTTTGTTTCTGACTGTGAGAAATCAGTGAAATTGAACAGAGCAAATGCTGGCTTAAGTGAAAAAAGGCATCAGGAAGTCAAATCCCCAAGAAAACCAGTAAAATCTGTTATTTTCTTTTTTTCTTGTTCACTGTAGACTTGATCTCAGATGTTTGCACACACCCTCATTCTTCCCATTGGCACGATCGGACCTCCTTAACCTCCCTGTTATCCATGCAACTGTGCTTACACCTAAAATACCTCATTACTGTGCTTTACCCTATTAGCTTTGCACTGTTTCATCTTGACAATAGGCTGCAAGCATTTATCCTGGAGCTTGTTCTTTTCAGCTGTGGTGAAATGTAGGCTTTGGGTTCATTACTCACTGGAAGTTGACAGTGCTGCTCTTCATTTAGTTCAAGGCAAACAATTCTTTTCTTCAGCAAATGCTAATGGACTTTTTTTGGTCAGTGTTGCATCCAGTGTGATCTTATATGCATACATTATAAAGTGGTATGTTGTTCCCTCTGCATTGTTTTGTTCCCCTGCCATGCTAATGGTGCAGCGGACTGTAAGAGTTCTTTCACGGGGTGTGTGGAAGTTTCCATTTCAATTTGCTTCTTAATTCTGCATTTACTGCTGGGTTGCAGGCTGCAGTTAAATTGTTGTATCATATTAGGAGTTCTCTAAATTAGAAAAACTATCTCCTTTTTTTGCCCATAGGTATTGGGGGCATTGCCAGCATGCCATCTCTTACAACTGTTGCCCCAGTGCCAATGGCATCTATTCCAGTAGTAGGAATGTCTCCACCATTAGTATCTTCTGTTCCTGCAGCAGCAGTACCTCCCCTGGCTAATGGAGCTCCTGCTGTTATACAGCCTCTGCCTGCTTTTGCTCATCCTGGTATGCTACATACTGAGACTCTGTTTACTCTCTTGCTCTTAACAAATTATTTTGCTATTTTCTTTGGATCCAGAGAACAGTAGACATGGAATTAGCCATTCTAACTTACTTTAAAGAATGACTTTGGGTATGGACTGTACTTTGGTTTAGCCCAACCTAATTCGCTAGCAAACTTGTATAAAAGTTAAAAGAAGAAAAATGGATGTGCCATACTGTAACACTCAGTCATGTTAATCAAAATTTTAACCCTGTTATAACAGTAGTGTGATCAATCTGGCTTGCCTGTAAACTGTTACCTAGAAATTGGCCCTCTCCTATCTATTTGCAGCTATGGAAGTACTGCTATTTGTTAGGATTACTTTAAAGTACTGGACTATGTATGATTTCTAACATTTATCACAATATAATAGGATATCAACAGAGTTTGCATAAAACTACAAAAGTAAAAACACATGAGAGAAGTGCCTATATGTTTCCACCTATTTTGTTAGACACTGTTAACTTATTTTTAAAAGGGATGCCATCAGAAGAACCATAATGCTTGTATCTGATGATAGGAATTACATGAATGTTATTGGAATTCCACAGATTAAAATACTAAGACTAACAAATACATGTATTCTCCTATTTGCAGCCACATTGCCAAAGAGTTCTTCCTTTAGTAGATCTGGTCCAGGATCACAGCTAAATGCAAAACTGCAAAAGGCACAATCGTTTGATGTGGCAAGGTAAGTTGGTATGGAATGAATGTATGTGTGTATCTGGTTCCCCAGAGCTAGAAAAACTACTTTGCTTTTGTGAAGTTTTTTTCTGAAATGATATTTACTTGCAGAAATAATTTCCTGCTCAGATACTACTTCAGGACTTCACAGGATGCTGTGGTTTTGCAAGGAATGTTTCATGAGTAGTGAATCATTGAAATATAATAATTAACTATTACAGTATGTGTCGACACTATTTTCAGACTCCTGAAAACCTAATTTTTAGAAATGTAAACATAATCTGCATCGTGTAATACTGTGCTGGCTCTCCTCCTGTTAGTGTGAAAACATAACAAGTATTATTCTTTAAAATTAGCAACTCTAGGATTATTGTTAAAAGCAAAATATGTAATAGTTCTCATATTTTAAATGCATTCCACGTAACTATTTCTTATATATTCTTCAAGTTCTGCATGAAAAATTACCTAAAAGGCACTTTGATTATTTCAAGGCCTAGAAAAATGTATGGTTAGACAAAATGTATTTTACTATGCTCTGATGGTATCTAACAAAATAGAATTTCCTTAGAGGAGGTAAGATAGTAATTTCCCAAAGTCATTTTTGCCAACAGAGGCCTGAACCTCAGGTGGGATGACTTCTTTTCTGAGGTGAAATTGCATGGTTCTCTGAATGTATTTGGGCCTGAGTTGGAGCTTCCTTAGTTCAATCACTGTTACTTCAGTAACTCGGAAAAGTCTGCCAGCCATGAAGGGAGGTTTCTTTCACAGACTGCTGCTAATGCTGAGTGGTGAACTGGAGTGTGTCTTCAAGTTTTATTTTGGAGAAGTAGATAGCAAAGGAATTGATTTGCAGAATGTATGAAAAGGGAAGAAGAGCCAAGTCGACGTTTTTTGATTTTTGGTTGGTTTTTTTTTTTTCTAGCTGAGAATTAGTTTGAATTTTGAGAAGGGAATTTAGAATTCCATTTGTGGTGTTTTTATCACTCTACTGAGTCATCAGTAGTGAACTCTTGGCATTCATGGTGTTTGGCATACATGAGTCAACTGTTTTGTCCTCCAGCGTTTTTTTTTCTAAAACTACCATTTCAGTATCCATGAAAGGAGTGTTTCATTACTTAATGTGTAGTAACCTTGTCTCACATATGAAGGCACATATATATATATATGTGTAAGAGACAAAAGTAGACTTCATGTGGAAACTCCAAATCTACCAAAACTGGTGAAGGAGGAATTCACATGGATAAAACTTGAATAGTCAGCTGTTGTTTTTTTTTTTTTAAACCTTTAATCTTATTTTGATTATTTAAGATGCAGCTTGGTTTTGATTTGCTCCCATAGGAGTATTATTAAAGCACAATAGGAAATAGAAATAGAGGTATTAGCTGTTTTGAGTCTTGTCATATGAGAATAGGATATGAGGTCAATTAGTAGAGTATTCATATAATCCATCTCAGCTCAACTTTGAAAGATCTTACAATGCTGTCTGCTCAGTAGACCAAGGAAAATGGATTTAGTGGTTTTTGTTCATTCTCTTAACTGTAATTTGGTATGCTGTTAGAAATGCTTATTTAATGTGGCTGCTTTTTTTTTTTTTTCCCCTCTCCTTTTTTCAACCTTAACAAAACAGGACAAAGTTTGAATGTGCCTCAAGACAGAAAAACTGTGCTCGCTGTTTTTCAGTATAAAGACTTGTCAGCCTTCAAGCATGGGAAATTATAGTTACAAATAACAGCACTCAACCTATTATGTGAATGAATTAGAACTGGGGATATTTTATTTGTCAGTCGAGTTCCATTAAGAGAAACATTGATTGCTTTCAAGAGTAGCTTTTTCACACTTTTTTTCTATGTTTTCAGCATATTTTACATTTGTTTTCCTTAATCAGCTTATGAATTATTTGGCTAAGACAAGCAGTTAAAGACAGGGTAAAACGAGATATTACTTCTGCTGACTGTGGTAAGGCATTTCCTATTACATGTTTAGGTAAAAGCTTTTAGCTTCTCTAAACTGTTTAGGTTACTTAATTCTCTGCTAGAAAAGAAAAAAGCAAAACCCTTAGGCCTGTCATTCAACTTTACCAAAAAACATCTTCTAAGACACTGAATTATGATAAGTGTTTTCAAACAAGAAGTCAAATCTGTTGTCGTTTCAGCAATAGAAGGGAATGTCTGTGAAAAGAACTATTTCAGGCATAAAACTATCTCTGTGCAGCACTTAATCCTGTTGTATTTGTTAACTTCATGTGATTAAATTTAAAATTATATTCTCCCCCCTTACCCTTTTTCTAATTCTAGTGTGCCTCCTGTGGCAGAGTGGGCTGTACCTCAGTCATCAAGACTGAAGTACAGACAGCTGTTCAATAGCCATGATAAAACAATGAGTGGACACTTAACAGGTACGGAAGAAGTTTTTGCTGTCTCCTCTTTTTTGAACTGTAAAAGGCCAATTATAATAACATTTAGAATTCAGATAGTAAGAGACTCTCATCTCTCTATTGCCACTGTTAATATTTTTCTGTTCAAATCTTCCAACTGCTTAATGATCTTGTTTAGAAGGAAATATTCATCACAGCTGGGATCATTTTTCCTTTTTTCTGCACCCTAAGTTGGCAGTGGGAAATGATTCTTGGAAATGGTACAATAGGTTATGTGAAAACTTGTGGAGCCCTTTACAGTGTTCAGTTCCTCCACTGATGAGGGTGCCTATCCAATTTCAGAAAGAAACTACAGTGGTACTCTGGCTTAGTTTTACTACTTCTGGGAGCATCTCTTTGCCTTTCATAGCCTAGTTCATGCTGTTAACATCTCTTCGGTGCTACCTATGCAGAACTAAGCTATGCTTGTGCAGTAGCTACTTGGTAATATAGGAAAAGGAGAAAGTTGTTTATTTATTTATTTGTTAATCCTTGTTTCACTTTTTTTAGGTCCACAAGCAAGAACTATTCTTATGCAGTCAAGTTTACCACAGGCTCAGCTGGCTACAATATGGTAAAAATAAATCAATTTCCATCAAACTGGAAACTGTATTTAAACCTCTATACTGTATACTGTGGGTGTTTTCTCCCTTTTCAGCCTCCCTCCGCTAATAAATCATTAAATTTTGCTCTTTTTAATGTATAACTTTATAAAAAAACCCTGCACTGCTATGCTTTATATTAATATTACTTCACAAAAGTAAAAGATCATCTTTTATACTATGCACATAGATGTTTCATAAGTTGGGTTTCGATTATGGAGTTTTTAGGCAGACCAGATGTTCAGCCTCCTATGTCTTCGACATCCCTGGCCATATGTGAGACAGAACCAGTGAAATTTATACATTTGCACAGGTAGCACAAAAGGAAGCTTAATCCAGAACCATACTTTCTTTGGGGCTCATTTGCCTTTTATGTGAGTTTCTAAGGGCTTATTTTGACAGGGGGGTTGGACTAGATGGTCTTCAAAGGTCCCTCCCAACCCTTACAATTCCGTGATTCTGTGATTTCCAAGGGGCTGGAGTTACATATATTTAAAATAATGTTTTCTTTCCTTTCAGTTTCTTGTTTGCTGAAGTTTGTTGAAGTTTTGTAATGTGGAAAATTATTTCTGATGAACTTACATAGTTCATTGTCAACTCACTAACCCAAGTGACTGTTGTGTGAGGATGTCAACTGTGTTGTCACTCTAATGTGGCAGTTCCAGTTGTACTTGCTTTCTTTGCAAAGCACTGATGTTTTTATTACATCTTAAAAAGCCCTCTCTCCTCCTCCTGTTTCCTAACAAAGCTAGTGTAAGGAAAAAAAAATATCAACCCAGTCATCCAACAGATGATTAACCAGAAAATACTCGGCTTGTTGCCAGCATTTAAGTAGGTTGTGTGGGCAGGGAAATGACATCAACATACTCCAGGAGTTCTAAACGTAACTCTTTTAATTTTTGACATGCAAAACTGCCAAGCCTGTTGAGATAAGGAATGGATTTTACAGCTTTTGTTCTTCTAAGTATTACTCCCTTTCCCGATGCTTATCTGTGGCAGTGGAACCGCTGTTGCTCTTCTCTGGGGCAAGATTTGGATTCGTTGACTCTCAGACACACAAAGTGAAGTATTGATACGCAGCCTGTCAGCTTTTCTGTAGCAGCTGTTTTGGTATTTCACTAACAAAGATGTGGACCAGACTGTTAAGATAGTGGATCAATTATATCTAGGCATGCTAGATTTTCAATCTACTGGCTTGTTCTTGTACTGTAGCCTGAGGACTTCAGTAACAGAAGTAACAGATTAAATGAGGCTATAATTGTCTTCCAAATTTAAATCCCATAAACAAGGTCCTTTCAAAAGAACGTATCACTTGCCTTTGATTTTCATAGTATCATGGGAAAATTTTCCTGCATGATTAGAGAAACAAAACTGATGTTTAGGTTATTAAATTTTGTCCAATACCACCTTAATGTGAGTAAAAGCATTTTGTACATGTGTTGGAGCACTGGTTTTTGGCCATCCAGGGATGTTACTCCATAACTTTTAATATGTGCATAATGCTAAAATGTTTTAGTGCTTGTCAGGACTAGAATGTTAATGACTTTGATTTTAATGCAAATGTGTTCTCTGGAATGTGAGATAGGAGCCTCCAGGGAAGAAGGAGGCCAAACCAAAAAGTCTTACTGATCATCTGAGCTGATTCTTTTCTAAATGATACTGTGTAGTGAATGTTCACAAGATATTCAAGAAAACTCCATTGATTAACATTACTTATATAGCATATAGTACAGGCAGCACTCAAAGAGCAAGTGAAGTAGAAGCCATGGCTATAAGGATAGTTTCAAGGCAGACATGCATGAGAAATGTGGGAAATAGTGAAGCGTTTGGGTTTTGCTTTTTAGTTGTTTTGAAGAGACATCGTAGTGTGAAAAAAAAGTGAAAAATTGAATTAATTTGGAACTGAATATGTTAAAACTATGCTTTTTAACAATGATTTTTGATATTTAAGAATTTACTTACTTTGTACCTTCCCTTTAAAAAGGAATCTTTCTGATATCGATCAAGATGGAAAACTTACAGCTGAAGAGTTTATTCTGGCTATGCACTTAATTGATGTAGCTATGTCTGGTCAGCCGCTGCCACCTGTACTGCCTCCAGAGTATATTCCACCTTCATTTAGGTAACTAGTTATAATTCTGGAGTCTCGGTCCTAAATTTTTATTTCATTTGGGAAAGCTGTCCTGTGACTGTAAACGCGAGAGATTGAAGAGTAACCCCTCTCCTTTTTGTACTGCATGGCACAGAGTGCCTTCTCATTGGGAAATGCCTATCTAGCTTTTTGATTTTATTACAAGTACTGGATGCTGGAAGCAGCAAAAATTCCTTGTAAGAATACGGGTTTGGTCAATGGTTTATACTAGCCTATCTTCCAAAATTTACTCAGTCTGGCCATATAAATTTCAAGTGTTCAAGTTTATACTTCTGTAGAGAAAATGGGATGTAGTGAAATTCAAAATATGCTATGAATTTACGCTGAAGCAAATTCAGACGTCTTTTGATAGAGTTGTATCTGTGAATGGTGGTGAGTCATTACTTCTGTTTCTCTATTTCACTTTTTTTGTTGAGAAATGGGTGGGAAGATAGTAACAGCCATAGAAAGAAATGTTTGCATACAATCATAGCTGCATGTTCTTTAAGTATCATCCTGAAGATCACCATTTTTCTGTTTATTCCATGGGGGGGATCTTGTTTTTAGCTTGACTATAGTGAGCTCTTCCTCTGTCTTTGCAACGTTTGCTATAGTTTAAGTTGGTGTTTCCTCAGCCTCAGGCTGGTCACAAGTACGAGATCTTGAGGAAAAGGTTGAACACATCTGTTGTGTGGTGCTGTGAACTTTGAACTAGGTTTCTTAGGTCACCAGTCTGTGCTGTTGGGACTCTGGAGGACACTGTTATCTTAATGGCAATGGCTGAGTAAAATCCTCTGGGGAACAATAAATATCATTAAACATTACATTATTGCATTTTATTTATCATTTCATCATTAAATCATAAATAAACTTGGCAGGCATAGGTTCTTCCAAGCAACTTGAAATTCTCATTTTATTGACAGAAGAGTACGCTCTGGTAGTGGCATATCTGCTGTAAGCTCAGTATCTGTAGACCAAAGGTTACCAGAAGAACCAGCATTAGAAGAAGAGCAGCAGCAACTGGAAAAGAAACTACCAGGTGAGCAAGCAAAAATAGACCTACATTATGTGCTGTTATCAGAAAGTTGTCATCAATAGGTTATGTGCTGATATATAAGGGCTATAAAGGCTGATTAGCCTAATTCTAATAAAGGGTTATAAAGGCTGACTAAGAAATGTTTTCTTTCCAGATCTGTTTGTGACATGTCAAAGCCGTAACCAAGACATTTCCTGACTGTTCTATGATCCTTTGTGTTAGTGACAGTGGAGATATGAACGACATTCATGCTGCTTATCTTATGCATAGAGACAGCACTTTTCAGCCCTACTGCAGAACTGCAATGAAAATTTTTTAGTACCTTAATCTTCTGATTAGGTGTAGTTTGCCTTATGTACTCTTTAAAAGATGACAATATACATACAGAGGCCTGTTTCATTGCGGTGTGTGTAACAATATGGTTTTTATACAAGATTTAGTAGCTTTGCTTTTGGGAAAATAAATTTTAAAAAGGAAGAAAAGGAGAGGGGAAAAAGGGTAGAAAGCCTCCTAGATACTAAAAGGCTAAACATTAGGAAACATCTTAGCACTTCTCATCATCCCTCACTCTTCTTTGTACTTTCTTTACTTTTGCTCTGTTTTATTCTAAGATGACCAGAGTGTCACAGTTGAAGATGTAGCAACACGACAGATTTATACAGTGCCATAATAATGCTTTTCTGTTTTAATCTAAATTATTTTTCAATTTTTTTTAGTTGATTCCTAGCACTGTATTGCCTCTTTGATCCCAGCTCAGATGTTTTAGAAGGCTTTCTGCAGAAATGCTAACATCCTTCCACAAATCTATTAACCATTTTAGAGCTCATGACTATGTGTGTTTAGTTAGGATTATTTTTATTCCCCATGTATGCTACTCTGTATTCATTAAAATTTGAATTTCCTCTCCTCCTTCATTGCCAGATCACTCAGTTTTGTGAGAAGGATTCTTCTAAAGTTCTTTACAGTCGGGTTTTTATTTTAATACCATGACTATCTGGCATCATCTCCAGAAGCTGTCTTGTTACTTTTCAATCTCTTCCAGATCATTGTTGCACACTGAACAATTGCTAGTAGAGATCTTTGAAGGAAGCTACTGAGAATCTTTCTGTCATTGTGAAAGTTGGTAATTTATTTCACCCCGTAATTCTAATCTTTTAACTGTTTGTTAGGGCCCAAGGATCTTCTGTCTTTTTCCATACCAGGCTAGTTCAGGGAATTTACATGTGAGCAATTCAGATAAAACTCTTGTCTTATATTTTATAACTACTGCTGTTGACAGTCAGCTGGGTAATTTCTGGCTGTAGGAGGATGAAGGGAGAGAGCGGGCACTGCTGAAACAGAGCTTACTGAGGTCTCACAATTAAATATTTGGTCACAGGTGAGATATGACTCTCCTGTATTGGCTCTTTGAGGCCCAAGTCTTGTGTCTCTGGCATCAGAGGAATTTGGTATTCAGTCTGTAGTGTCAAGAAAAGTCAACCACTGCCTTGGCTTAGTTTCTTAATTAGACTTTGAAAACATGGAAGTATTCTTCTGTTGATCTTCTTTTTCAGCTTGCTTATTGATTCAATTAGGTCTATTAGACTTCAGAGGCACCTCTTTTTTGCATTGGTTCTTCAATGGTATCACAGTTAGTCATCTATAATAAATGTATAATAACTAATTCTCTGTCTATTGTAGCCTCTGCTGCTTTGCCCAGCGTGGGAGTAGACTGACTTGTCTGTAGTTTTCAGGATCATTGTACTGTCTTTAAGAAAAGACTGGTGTTGCACTTGTCATCTTCTAGTCTTACAGCACTGATGTTGATTAAAGGATAGATTGCACAGCACAGGTAGTAGTTCATTAATTTTGTATTTGAACTATGGATTAGCATTGTCTGGGTTTGGCAGACTGTTACTCTTCTTATTTTTTTTTTTGTTTTAAAGCAGTTTCTGCTCTCAGTTAAAGATGAACTAGAGTGTATAAGCCTCTTACATTATTTGATGTATAGCTTTTCAGTTGTAAAGATCACTTATAATAGTGGATGTTGTCTTGCTTCCTTGGCTTCACTAAATCTGTCTAGATGTTGGGTTTTTTCTCTTTTGAGACATTTGAAAGAGTTTTTATTTGTTGGCTTTTATAATGTATTCAAAGCTTTCCCTTAATCATAGTAACACAAGCCAGTAACTACTTATTTAATTTGCTAGAAGTTGTTCTCTTCTATTTATATACTTTGGATATGCTTTGTTTTGATATCTCTGGTAGCTACCTTGATTTTGCTGAGTAACCATACTAGCTTGTTGGGCAGCACTTTAAAACCTGGTGTTTATTATTAGTCATATGTGTTTTCTGAGCCTCGAACATGGTATCTCAACGTCCATGCTACTTGCAAGTGTTTTGCCCTTCTACCTATTCCTTTTAACTGTCTTTCTTGACACACTTTTTTTATCCCCTTTTTGCTTGGTTTTCTGAATCGGTGGGAGTTAATAATCACCTTCTTGGTTTGTCAGTCTGTATCTTAATATTCTTTGAACCTAGTGGCTAATTTTAAACAAACTTGACAGGCATCAAAGTGGTTAAATTCTTTCAAGTTTTATGAAAAAAGGTGACTTGCAATAGGAAAAGGGGCCAAACTTAGACAAGAATGCCACTGGTTCAGCAGGTGTTGGGCCAGCGTGTCAAACAGTGCATACATACTTTGAAGTAAATATTTGCTATCTTTTGACTTGCATGCCAAAAATGTACATGTTGGGCACGTGGGGAGAGAAATATAGAATATGGGATATGGGAATGGGACAACTGGGGTATGAAAAGAAGCAGAAAGTAAAGTGGAAAGAACAACTTGGAAGAACTGTGAGGGAGGGGCCAAGGAATGTCGAACAGGGGAAGGACAATCCCTGATATTGCAGAAGAATGTCAGGGAACCTGTGCTGGAACTGAGGTCATTCTTCTAGGACAGTACGTGATAAGGATACAAATCTGCAGGAATCCAGTCTTCCTGAGTTCAGCTACTCAAGAACTTAAGCAAGCCATTTCTTTTCCTGACAGTAATGAGTAATCTTATGAGAATACCAAGTTTAAATACGTTCTGGTCATTTGCATAATGACTTTTTGATGGTATCAGCAGCTGAATTCTTTGCCTTGTAGTAATTGAAGTGTTGGTTCTTGTACTGCTGCTATTATCAAATGTATAGAGGAACTCCAGATTCTGTGTCCTCAAAGAGGATTAACTGCTGCATGGTTTGCCTAATTTATACCCACTTTTTGGGCTTTGTGGAGAAACCTAGAAGCCTGAGGAATGGGAACTGAAGTTCACACCTTGGTTTCCTAAGGATGTGGGTTTAAGGAGATCTACAATATAAATGCTAATGATAAAATCTAGATTTACCTGTAAAGCTATATTACCAGTAGTTGAGAGCTGCATCTAGTACTGTGGGAATGTTGTTTCACTTTGATTCAGCATATATGGATATTTTTTTTTTAAGTCAGTAGCAGAGTTTAATTCTTCTTTGCCCCATGTTTTCCACACGTTAAAGTTACATTTGAAGATAAAAAACGGGAGAACTTTGAACGTGGCAATCTAGAACTTGAAAAACGGAGGCAGGCTCTCCTGGAACAGCAACGCAAAGAACAAGAGCGTCTGGCACAGCTGGAACGGGCAGAGCAGGAGAGGAAAGAACGTGAGCGGCAGGAACAAGAGCGTAAAAGACAACTGGAGCTAGAGAAACAGTTGGAAAAACAACGTGAGTTGGAACGGCAAAGAGAAGAGGAAAGGAGGAAAGAAATAGAAAGAAGAGAGGTAACTAAATGGATAAAAGAAACGTGTTATGTCACTGGCAGCTGTGTTTGATTAGAACAAAATGTAATGTGTACACTAAGTATTTTGCCATCGTATTTAGTAAGCAAGCATTAAAAGAATGAACTTAAATTTCTGAGTTTTTGAAGGTAAGGAAAGGGTCGGCTTTCTCTTTATTTTTCATGTGAAATTAATGGATGAGACATTGAGACCTAGGACAATGTGCTCCTAACCTCTGACTTCTTTAAAAATAATTATTATTTTCTTTGCTATAAAGAGATGCTTGAACGAATGAAGGAAAATTTAAGGGCATTGGTGGCATTCATTATTTTCCTGTGATGAGTTACTTTGTTAAAGAAAACTCATACTGGTTAACTTAAAAAACTATTATTTTCTCACATTGCCAAATAAAGATGCATTTAGTGCAGTAACATTTGACTATTCTTTGCAAAGCTGCAGAATGTGTAATGTTGGATGTTGGAAAGAGATTTGATGCTATCCTAGAGAGTTTTTGAAGTCTTAATATGAAACAACTTTTTAAATAAGAAAATAGGATCTTGGGAAACTAATTAAAATGGAGTGATACTCTGTTTAGTCACCTATCTGCAGTACAGGGAAGCCCCATTTCACCAGTGCTTTCAAGTTTGTATTTAAACAATTGAGAAATTTATGTGCTTAAATGGAGGCACGTATTTAGTCCACAGTTTAGCAGTGTGTTTATATTAATGTTTTAATTGCACATTAGAATATGAATATCACCAATTAGAATAGGTTCTCAAAATAGATCTTTCATATTTTTAATTTTTTTTTTAATGCTACAGGCTGCAAAACGGGAACTAGAAAGGCAACGGCAACTTGAGTGGGAGCGTAATCGTCGACAAGAGCTACTAAATCAAAGAAACAAAGAACAAGAGGACATAGTTGTTCTGAAGGCAAAGAAGAAGACATTAGAATTTGAGCTGGAAGCTCTAGTAAGTGATTATATTGTAGATAAAACACACAAGCACAGAAGTGACTGTGATATGGCCATGCTTATTTTCTCTAGTTTCAGCGTTTAAATATGGAGTAAAATTACTTTTTAGATCCTGACTTGCATGACAAACCATTCTGGTAAAAAAAGAGAGATATTTTTCTTTTTTTTTTCTTTTTTTCTAAAGAACGATAAAAAAAATCAGTTGGAGGGAAAGCTTCAGGATATCAGATGTCGGCTGTCTACCCAAAGACAAGAAATTGAAAGTACAAATAAATCTAGAGAACTGAGAATTGCAGAAATCACCCATTTGCAACAGCAGCTACAGGTGAGAAAACATTCTCTAATTTCATTCTTACGCCTGCATTTTGACCTTCTTAACCGTATCAATATCCCAAGCAAACTTGCTACAATATATGCTATCTTGTTCCTTGTACATAAGTATTTGGTGTAGATAGATTACCATTCTTTTAAATAAATGTTCTTCAGATATGTCTGGGAGTTGCTTCCTACGCTTGAAGGTGTGTCTGTGACTGTCACTTCAACCTCATGGAATCCTGTTGTGGGAAGCAGTAAATAAATTGTTTGGCTGAAGCTTTTAAAGGGTTTGGGAGGATGAAGAGAAAAATTTTACAGCATCTGTTTTTGTTGGCAGTGATTGCTATTTGCATGCTAAAAGAAAGAATTGACTTCAGTGAAGTGGCTTGATGATGTTTTTTTTTAATTAGAAAATAATGAGCTTTCAAAATTGATGTTACAAGTTAAACCCATTAGTTGACAATGGTCTGTCTCTCGCGTTCATCTCTTCTGTATCTAAAATTGTCTGTCAAATTAAGGATGGAATTGAGTAGATATCTGCTTTTAGTGAAAGAATATTCTTGGCAATTTGTAAAGATAAGTTGTAGTATTTGATGTAGGGATTTTTCTTTTTATTAAATATTATATATTGCTTGAAATTAATTCTTGGCCAGTAATGGGGGCGCTCGGTGCTTTTCCACCACCAGAAAGAGAATTTCACTCTTATCTTTTGAGGGCTTAGGTCTTAAACCTGTCTTAAAACCTAATCCTACTGTTCCATTTCAACTTTCTAAGTGTAATTAATATAGTACATTCATTTCAACAAAACCAGAATTGAAAGCTTAGTTTTTTTTGGTTTATGTATGAGTATTTTTTGACACTTTTTTTTTTTGTTCTTAAATGAACTTACTTTTCTATTGAAATTTTGTGTACACCATTACACCTTTCACAAGGCATCTTTTTTTTGGCAACAGGTTGTTATAAAGAGTATATTTTAGGGTCCACCTAGGTACCCTAGGTACCACCTTCCTAACATTTACTTTATGCTACTTATTAGCCAATTGCAATGGTCAAAAAGTAGATTGCCTTTTAGTTTTTTTGCCTTCAACATTTTGACACCAATCTGAAACTATTGGAACATCTGGTGAAGTAAAATGAATTTTGCACAGTTGTCTACGTTTTACTCATTTTGGAATCCCTGCTATATTTGTAGTGATTTAACTGTCTCGTTACTAGATGGTATGTATCCAGCAGTTTGGTTAATGCCTATTTACTTTCTAAATTGGTTTGTTCACAATGACTGTAAGAGCACTTCTGTAATGAAAATCATGCTTGCCTTTCTTGGCAGGTGTTTTGTTGGATTTTTGGTTTTGAGGTGGTCTGTGGTTTTTTTTAGGTTGACAGCAATAGCTTTGGCTTCATGGTACTATCTTCTCTCAGGTGATCACTGATCTCAACCACTATTATTTCAGTATGTGTCGCTTGAGGGGTTTAACACAATTGTGATCCCAGAAAGAAGTGTCACTAGTTAGTAGAGAAGGCCAGATTTCATCTAGGGAGAACCTAAAAAAGCGGATAGCTTTTTCCTGAAAAAAGATGAGTTTCTTAAATATCCTCTAAATTTTACTGTCTAAGTTGTAGAGGAAAACTAAAACAGTAAGTGACTTTTTTAAAAGGAGATTTTGATCCTCTAAACTCTCCAATAGATTAAAAAGTCAATATTGTCAGTTGTCTTTGTAGGATGATATATCTTCACTTGGAAGTATTTTAGGTTAATACACCTGACACTTGCTATGGAAAGATGAGTTAATTCAATGGAGTAATTATTCATCAACCTATTAATTAGTTTCAGGATGGAGTTTGATTAAACTCGTGGAAGAAATTGTGTAACAATTAATCCTGGGTGATGAAAATTTGTGCTAGTTACATGAATCTGTGGTATCTGGTAGAGTGGTATTTCCAAGGACATTTGGAAGGATCCCACCTTCCAAACACCTAAACTGTGTTTGAATTACATTTATACTCTCTGCAGGGCCTCTGCCTGTTATCTGCAGGAATTATTTGCCTCCTTGATGAACACTTTGGCTCCCAAGTAACTTGGCTTTACTCTGAAGCATTGGAAGCAGAGTATGTGGCAGAGACTTAAGATGTATAGTGGTATCTCAGTTTCAGGAAACAGAACTTGACCCTCATGATCCCTTGGCATTCTCTGTCCTTAAGTACTCTCCAATCTTAATACACAGAATAGTTTGAGTAGTAAAGAGTTTAGAAATTAAAAATCTGGCCTTTAAAAATTAACAACTACAGTTAGTATCATATTACACCCTGAAATATTGCCCTGTGTTAGCTTTTGTGCCTGAAGAATGATAATTTTTCTGTAAATCCTGTTTCGTTTTTGGTATCCATTCAGCTATTTGGCTTATCTAAATGGTTTTTGAATTGGAGTGATGCAATTTTGTTATCCTTGTGTCTTGCAAGGTGGTTTCCTTTTCTTTTTCTCTTGAGGTTTATCCATCAATACATTTAGTCTACTAGATACCACCTTTCTTGGATTATACTACTTGGAAAACTTAATTTCCATGATGCCTGTGTGGTATACTAATTTAATATTACTTTTTACGTTTTTCATCCCAAACTGTGGCACGGGGGCGTGCAGGTATTTGGGTGAGAGGGTGTGGTGGAAGAGAAAGTACGAACACAAAGGACAGTGTTTTGCATGTAGCTTAAGAATATTGTGATGATGGTTGTTGGGAAGGTGGCAGGCCCTCTTACACAGGTGATTTGGAAAATGCTCCCTTATATATTGCTATGGTTCTAGGTAGGAAATAATAGTCCCATGATAGGAGTATCTGACCTTCATGGTATTCTTGAAGGAAGGAAAAAGATCTGCTGATGTCATAGGCAATGCAGCTGAATAATGAGGGACACATGTAACTCCTAACAGTCAAATACATAGTTTATCTTAATTTTGATACTTTGTGAATTTATCCTTGACTCTGCTATGCTGTCTAAATATGTTTTCTGGAACATAAAGGGATTACAGTAGTCTGCATTCATTGCATAACCATAAAATCTGAGCTGTACACTACAGGTGCCAAATCAAAGACTGCCATGAGTAAAGTGGGACAACTACAGAGTCATGTCAGTATGGTCAGCCTTGTGTTCTTGTAAGAAAAACTAAAAACTTTTAATGGGACTCATTCTGGTATTAAGCGATTAGGTGACATTCATTCTTAGGATCGCGTTATGTAATTTGCAATCCTAAATGACAAATTGAAATTGTCATATGGTTGGTTCCTCAAAAGCCTGCAATTCAAGACAACTGCTGAAATAAATTACTTAGCTTATGTGAAGGATGGGATGTTGACACCCTGGTGGCTTTCATAAAATAAGCTGTTTCACCTCATGCTCCTATAATACATTTTGACAACTTGAAGTTGGAGGTCAAGGCTTCTGAAAGGTGTATGAAGAAGCACTTCATCCTCCAGAATGAGCAAGGATTATATACGAAAAATATATATATATATATATGACCTACCGAAGGAGGAATTTCTCACCTGCAGGGTGTCCTGTAATATAGCAGCATGGAATCGTATGACTGTGTGTTGAAACTGAGAGAGATCATAATCTTCTTTTGAGAATGCTAAATTGAGAGATCTGGGACTCAAGTATTCTCCCCTAACAGAGTTTGTATGGCATAGCTTTTGGCTGTAATACATTCCTTTAAAGTGAAAGCCTTTATTTTCTCTTCTTTAATAAATTGTAAATATTTGTCCTTCTATTCCTGATCAAAGTTAATATTAATTTGTTAAAATGAGAATTAAATTGTTAGTAAGTGCTTGTTCTAACATTTCCTGGAATCTGTCCTTGTCTTTTTCCCCTGAATTTCAAGTAATTCCAAGCCAAGCTAGGTATTTAATGAGAATCACTTCTCAAGTAATATGTTTAAATTGCATATGCTCGCTTTTTTTGAGTGGTAGTACCACACAGATAGTGCTTGGATAATAGCAATTACACATAATTTAGTGAGAGAAAAAGTAAAGAGCCATTTTAGAAGAAATGAAAATGAGAGGTCTTACAGCTAAAGTCATCACTCTCTCTTCTCTTTGTCTGTTTATCCTGTTTTCTCTTGTCTTGTTATCCCCTATACAGGAATCTCAGCAGATGCTTGGAAGGTTGATTCCAGAAAAGCAATTGCTTAATGATCAGCTAAAGCAAGTTCAACAGAACAGTTTGCACAGTAAGTGTATTTTTGTACATGGCTACGTTTGTATAAGGTATGATGCTGCATTGCACAGTGTACTCTGTAATCTCTTTTTTTGTGTTGCAAGATGCATGTTGAAAAATGTTGCTTTCCGTGACCTAAAATACTCCATGTAAGGAAATACTTATTTGACAATATGTTTAAAAACAGGAGATTCTCTTCTTACAATCAAACGAGCCTTAGAAGCCAAGGAACTAGCACGTCAGCAGCTTCGAGACCAGCTAGATGAAGTAGAAAAAGAAACCAGATCTAAACTTCAGGAAATTGATATTTTCAATAATCAACTGAAGGTAATCCTAGACTTTATAACCCCTTCTACTAAATGTTCAGTTAATTATTTTCTTAAAAATATTGAACTAGAGTGATTGATTTAGAATGTCGGTTTTAGGAACATTCTCAAATCTATTGTTTTGGTTTGGTTTTTTGGTTTGTTTTTTTTTTTAAGAAAATACTACTTAGCATTCAAACTCAGAGTTTGAATCAACTTAATCTGCAGATCTATTTAAGAATAAATTTGAGCTCTGATTCCAGATCTGTGGTTGAAAATATGAAATTGCCAATTTCGGTCCTACTGCATCAAAGTGGCATAAGACTGCAGTAGGTCAGCAAATCTGCTGGAATCGGTACTTCAAATTGAAATCTTTAGTAAGAGACTTGATTTTCTACTGACATGCAGAATTTTCATCTGCTGTTTGTAAGCTTATACTTGTTCCTGAATGTAGTTGTGTGTTGTTTGTGGTTTCATGCTTTATTGATCAGTCTTTTGTTAAAACTGTGTGATTTTTGTTTATTTCTGCACAAAAAAATGATAGAAATTGCAGAAGGTCAGTAGAGGAAGTACTCTTCAGAGAGAAGTTATAAATCAGTCTCTTGTTACAAACTTTTAATAGTGTTCATTTTTTCACCTTTTCATAAAATATTCTTATGTTAAAGTAATTTGTCTGCTAATTTAACTGGCATTTTCTCCTGGAAGCTGAATAGAAAAATATATGATTTCCTGCACGGTCTAATAAATTGTGCTTACAAGTATTTAGAAGGAAAAATACTATAATAGATACACTATTGTTTTTGTAGTTGTTTTGAAATTAGATCAGCTATGATTACATCACATGCTTTAGGATGGAAGACGTGTTTGAAGTTAAGCAACAAATAGCTTGTTATATTATTAAAGTTTTTAATAGTTATAGGAAAAATTAAAAGCTGTATACCATACCACTACTGGTTTCAATGCCGCCAGTTCCAAAATGACATTCCCTATCTTAGGCAGGGAGGTAGGAAGAGGAGAATGTCTGCAGAGTTATGAGAAGCAAGACAAAATGCACACAACTTATTTTAAAAGAAAACAGAATGGTTTTCATATACCACTTACATATATATATATTTTTTTTTTATTTATTTTTTTTTGGACATATCTTAATATGTTATGCTTTTAGGGTGATTTTTTTTTTTTAAATTGAGTCCTTTTGAAGTGTTTTGCTGATAGATATGACCAAAGGATATTAATTCTAAAATTAGTGTCAGCATTTGGTTTGATCATAAGTGACCTAAACAGTTTATAAATGGGCAGAGGGCTGAATAATCTTAGTACTGTAATAGTAGCTAAAAAAAACCAAACCAACCAACCAAAATTCAGTACTCTAGATACTGAAAGGCTTGACCTAACAAATAGCAAGCTAATGATAATTAAAAATTGAAGATGCATATTAAACAAAGACATTGATTTATCAGGATACCTGCCATCTATCAAAGAATACCTTGAATAATTGTAAACTAATTTGCAGTTTAATTGGAAAATTGATTTCTCTGTTCAAATCTTAGTATTTAGAGTTATCACTTTAAATGCTGAAAATTATTTTAAAATGTAGACAATTCTTTGGGAAGACTTCAGCAAGCTTCCTCTGGCTTGAGGATATTGCGTTCTTTATTCCATAATGTGCAGAAGCAGTGCTTATTAGGAAGACCACTTTTTGATGCTGCCTGTTGCTATTTTTGCCTCGCAGCAGCAGCTTGCTTTGCTTTCTTGGAAGAGATGAGTTTAGGAGGGGCAGTTGTACTATTGAAAGGGAAAGGTAGGAGTTTAATTCAGAGAGATTTATGTCTTCTTTTTGTAGTTTCGTTAGATGTGCAAGATGTATTTTGGGGGGGGCTGAGTGATTTTATTACTAGATTCAAATATCTACAAAGGCATATATACCTTTTTGTGGGCTCAGCATGGAATAGTTGTATTAATCACAGTGCCAGAGAAATCACATAGGTGACACTGTGATTTAATGGCTGCTGGTCTTGTGGAGAGAACTCTGAGAATGCCTTGCATATGAGACTTCACGCACAGAGCTTGTGTGAAATCTTTTCTGAGACTTATGGTTTTACTAGAGTTTGTGTGAAGTGGAAGTTTTGTTCTTAAACCAAAGCAGAACACACCTGTATCTTAGGTAATATTCCTCACAACAAAGTAGTTTAGGAACTTGAATAATTCTCCGATACTTTTACCTAAACAATCAAAAATATCTTGACAACTTTTAGGAAATGCCACTGGGAAGATAATGGTTATGTTTGAAATAGGTAGAAAATGGCTTATAAGTAATTGCCAAATTAATAGCTTCTCCAATTAACAGAATAATTTTTGTTTATTTATTAGTAACTGGGTGCATAAATACAGGAGGCTCGTTTGGTGCTACAGTGCCTTGCAATTTGTGTAATTATCAGTCAACTGTGTAATGCTCACATTTAAATGTAAACCTTTTAAAATAATGTGTCAAAAATTCCACCCCATCAGAGCTCTAAATATAATAAAGGCTTTTTATCTTGTAAATGAAGGGAAAATATGTAAAAATGGGAAATACAGAAGTGTTTATTTTTAAAATGTATTCTTATTAAATAAATACATTTAAAGCTTCATTTTTAATCAAGGCTGTTTCTAAATTCTCTGTTTAAAACTGATACACATTTATTTTGATGATCTGCTCTTTGTGCTTCCTTATTCTGAGAGGTGCACGTTTGATGGGGAGGCTGTTAGGACGGCAGCACTGGAATTGACACTGTCTTGTGCAGCTTGTGTTCTCTGACAACGATAGAGAGGAACTCGTGCTTGCCTTGACTTCTGTAATAAAACTACCTTCTGGACAAGAAGCAGAATGATGTGGTACTGTTTGCGAACTCCCAGGAAAAAAAAAAAAAGCATATCTAAATACTTTTTAGTTATATACCATCTTACAGCATTTTGCACTTATTTCCTGTGGAGAGAGGGAATAATACATGCCTTTACTTAGTCAAAATGCTTAAATTCATAGAAAACAGAACCAGAATGCTAAATATGTAAGCTACTGGTCTCTGAGTACGAGGTATGTACCAAACTAGTTTTAATGAAATGCTTGAGAGACAGTGTTGACAGGAACATTAAGTTATAATCTTTTGTCATTATTGTTGAGACTGATTCCTTATTGGCTATGAATATTGGTTGCATTATCTCCTACGTGAATGTATTCTTAAATTTTACAAAACTCAGTTTCTGATTCATTCACTTGAAATAGTCTACGCTTGATGTACCAGCAGATACAGAAATATGCTGCAATAGTACAACATAAAATTAGTAATTTAACTAGTATCTAGTGTACCTTTTCATTGATGAGACCATAAAGTTTATCTAATATTCCAATATATTTTGGGTAATGGATCAACTTGTTAACACTGTAGTAGTATACAGTGGATTGCACTGCATTTGCTTCCATATTATAGTTTTTATGTTCTGCAGTAAGTGAATACTTAAAACGAGTGTTAAATTACCTCATCTTTTCTTCATGTGTTAATAGCATATATGAATGACTAGGGAGATAAATGAAACATTTCTTTTCCACTGGATCTTTTCTCATCCCTCCAAAACAACTGATTTAAATTTAAGCTCCTTTGGAGCTCAAGTGCTTCAGTTACTTTTTTTTCAAGTTAACATCTCAAGAGTTGGAAATGTTCATAGAATTTGGTTCCTTTTCAAAAAAGGTCTGGAGTGTAAAATGTTGTTATTATTTCAAAACAGGTAGTTCTAAGTATTTTTATTGAATATCTTTAGGTTAGAACCACATGGTTTCAGGAAACTGTTAGTACCTGTTTGGCAGAGAAATAGGTACCCTAGCCTGCAACTGGTCAGATATCTTTTTAAATCAGATTTGAGTTATTTTATCAGATAAGATTATAGTACTGTGGATTGTGCTATATTTGGTTATAGAGTAAGTGACTGAGTTTGTAACAGGGTTGAAAGTTGGACCACTTTTTTGGTCCTGAATTATGGTTGAAGGAGTCTAACTTCCATTACTCTTTAAAAATCTTAGGCTAGGAATCTAATAATTAAAATTGATACAGATATTAATAAATTGTAACTCGGCACTTGTTAATTTTCTCTACTTTATAAAATAATTCTGTAGAATAGAAGGCTTTATATTAGATTTCCTGTTTCTATATGTATAGTCCTACTATAATCTACCTTTACAAATTCTTTCTACATTCAGTGTGAATTCACATTTAAATGGTGCAAAGGTCAGTCATTACAAACTTTCAAATAAAGAAATAATAGTTCTTAATTCTTTGGTTCTTGTCTCCAAAGGCCAAATAATCATTTCATACAGCATAGAAGAATCAAGTATTTAGAGCTTATTGTGTTAGTGCACAGGAGAAGACAACTAATTATTGTTTCTGAAATAACACTAGTCTTGCCAAGAAGCTGTTCTCAGTGCCTGGAAAAAGGGGTGAACAAGTAGAATCAAGTTCTTAAAAATGTTTTACATTTTGTGTCATGTTCCGGTTGTTGTCAGTCCCTGTCTGGTCAGTGTGCACTGGACAAGTCTTGCATATGAATGCCTGTTTACATTTGAGCATTTCTTTCTTCCAGTCAGTGGCAATGGAAGATGCAATGCTGCAGTGCCTGGCAGTTCTCCTGGGCTGCGTCAACTACTTAGACTCCTTTCTAAAGGTCTCCATGCCATACTCAGGCAGTACACAACAATCTCAATCTGAGTGATGAACCTCCTCCAGTTATGTGCTTCACTTTACCATAAACAGATGAGTGTGCAGTGTTTCACTAAGTTAGTATTTAAGAAGAGGTGCTAGCACTAAAACGTAACCAAAGAGAAGAGTTTATAATTTGATTCTTTATCTAATCCTTACTGCCTAGATGAGGAGTGTGCCTTGAATTGCAACCTGGGCAAGGGTACTAGGTAGTTATTTTTGTCTTTTGCTTATCTGAAACGTCAAGATTTTAAGTGAATTGCCTATTTTAGTCATGGTCTTCAGCATTTTTAAAAAGAAAACACTTTTATGTCAAGTATTCCTACACAGCACTGTAACTTGTGATTCCAGGTATGAGAGATATGACAATACATTCCCTTTATCAAATCCCCTGTAGCTATAATATGGGGTGAAAGGAGGAACCCTGTCTGTCAAGGACAAAGCAGGCGCTTTGGGAGCTGGGGAATGGGGTAGAAGAGTATTGCTGTGGGAAAGCCTCAGTGAGCACAGAACTGTAGGGTTCTTTTCTCTGGTATCAAATGCTCTGGTTTGTCTCGAGGGGAGAAGACGTGATGGAAACCTTGTATTGTAATCCTTGAAGTATCCTAAGTTCTATTCTCTTTCTGTCAAAAGGCAAAATTTGGGCTTAAACAATTCTAACATTAAGGTTTTCATAGCAATGTGACTTGTCTGTATATAGTGAATATTACTCTGCTGTATGAAACTCATATTTTAATTCATATTCAATATTATGTGGGTACCTAAATGTGGCTATTGTTAACATCTCAGAATTATACTTGTTAGTCTGTTTGTGAATTAACTGGAAAGGTAACAATTTCTCTCTGCTTTTAAGGTAAGACATGCTTTGTCCTGCATATCAGAAACAAGCAGAGCATTGTTATGTCTTTGGAGTTACGATATACGATTTGTAAATGTACAGCTTTTAAGTTGCTTGTGTCTGTAAAAGATGAGTGTAGGACTGTGCTGAATATTCAGAATGTTTCATTCTGTTGACTGTTGAAGTGTTACTATACTTTTGTTCAACTGCTGTCCTATAGCACTGTGGGAGATACTGATTCCTTCTCCCCCATCCTCCCACTGGTACTTGGCAAAGCAACAGAGTATCTATCTGTTGCATAAGATGCCCATCAAATCTTTATTTCCTCCAAGCTGAAGCAAAGAAGGATACTGATTGCATTTTTTTCATCTCCAAAAATATTGCATCCAGTACTAGGAGTATAAGCTAGGTTAGACTTTCTTAACTGTTATAGGTATGTCACAGAAAAATCTTGTCACAAAATACTGAAGTAGCACATTGATTTAGCTGGGAGGGAATAATGTGTTAAAATGTTTATGGAAAATTTAAATAATTATTAAATTATTTAAATTTTGAGATCCTAATATAGCTGAACATATAGATGAAATGACAAAACAAGCAAACAAAATAATTTAATTATTTCAACCAGAGTTGGCAGCAGCACTTAATTGATGTGATGCAGCAGTTAATAATCCTACTATATGTACTTAGTATGAGAAACTACTTGCTTCAGACAGACATAGAGGCATGGCTTATAGCTACAACTTCCCCAGTTTTCTGTTTGTCAGTAAAAGTGGCATATATCATAAGTTTAATGGTGAGATAAATGTACAAGTATAAACTATAATTAAAATATAGAGTTTGGACTACCTTTGTAATTGGATGTCTAGTGGAAGTACATAATGTTTGGTGCACAGATATCTTGTAAGTTGTAAGTTGTTTTTATGTATTTCAAGGCTCAGGAAGTTTTTTGAAGGGGGGAAAATAGCAATGTTCTGAATTAGAGGTAGATTCCTCCTGATTCTGTGTATATAGATGAACTGAATAATCCTTTCTAGTTTACAAATTTCTTTTTAAAAAGTAAACTAAGCTCAAATACTTGCATCTGTGTGGTCACACTTAAAACTTCTGAGATTTATTGGGTTTTTTGTTTAACGATGATAGCCTTCATACCCTTCAAGTATTTTAGTTCCTATTTCTTTGCCTAGCAAATATTTCTATTTAACTGCTCAAACACCAGAGTTTGGGGTAAAGATGTAAAGGGGAAGAAAAAAACAAACCTGGAAAGCACTATTGTCTAAATAACTTAAAATTTTGCAAGTAACAACAGGTTGCCTTATTAGAAATGTGTGAGTATCCCAGATCTCTCTGTTCAATAGCAAGAGGAGTTCTCATTGGCCAGGACTCAGAATCTTGAGCTTCTTGGCATACAAAGTTAAGTGAGAGGAAGGGAAATGAATGTGAAGGAAAGCTAGAGCAAGTAGAACAACAAAGAATTACTAAATGGAAGCCTCTGCTAAAGCTGAACTAAAGGTAGGAGTCAGAAACATGCACTTTGGATAGCAGTCTCTCTACCCAGAAAAGTGGAACAGCTGGTTAAAAATCATTAATATTAGTAAAGATATTTGATACTTCACAAAATTAGTATTTTGAGCTTCAAGAGCTTTGTAGATGCTTAGGTTTATGGATTTCTGCAATCTACAAAAATTTATAATACTGTTGGCCAGGTGGAAAACTACTTTCAACTGTGCCATTTTCTAATCTATGTCCCTTTGGATGAATGCTTGTAAAGCACTCCACTGCTAATGTTCCTTACGGTTGTATATTTGTCCTTTATGCTTGTACATGTTTTTTGATACTAATAAGGGTTCAGGTGATCATGTAGGGACAATGAGAACTGTGATTCCCTCAGAGAAGTTAATTTGAAACAAGGGTCAAATCCTTCGTACCTCAATATGCTAGTGTGACAGCATTAAAGAAGCTGAATTAATAACATAGAGTTATAGCAAATGACTTTTCACTCTAGATAGCACTTGAGAAATTTATATTCTGGTCAGAGGCCACCTCTAGCTCTAGGTGCAGTTGACCAACTGTGTGTTCACTGCAGTTTCCTGATCCCTTTATCGCTCTTTATAGGCTAGCTACTGTAAACCTGTTATGTTCAATATTGCTAATGTATTTCCTTTTAAATGCCCTTTTCCTTAGTCCAAAATAAGGTTATACATGAACATTTTTAACCATGGGTGTTCAAGGTTTCAAAATTTTCCCACAGGCAATATCCTGCCTGAATAACTCTAGTGATTTTTTTTGCAAGAGTAGTTTATTTTATGTTCTGCAATATCCATCCTAGATCCTAACTACCTACTAAGGTTTAAGGCGACTATGGAAAATAATGATGATCATAAAAGATGATATTGCCCAAATTATCTCTGTATTTCAATGAGTTTCATGGCCTTAGCAGAGTTTTAATTAAACTTGTATAAGAACTCATTATCTATTTAATGATGTTGAATTCAGTTTTCATTGACTTTAAAATTAAGGATATGAATGGGACTGAGAGCTAGGACACAAGGTTGAACTTAACTGTTTAGTTTTTTTTAACTTTTATCTGTATATCAGAAGTGGTTTTAATACCTTGGAAAGGTCATGTGCTAATCCTCTTCACAATGTAGTTATTTTGAAATCTTAAAATTTGATGTTGCACAGTGTGCAGTCGTTCAGCACTAATGCATGTGCTCCTTTCACCAACTAAAATTTTTAGATACAGTGCAAGTACAGTCTGTAAATAAACAAGTATTAACTTTCAACTTTTATGAAACTTTAGCTAAGAAGTTACTAATAATCTTGTGAAATTAACTTACTGAAACTTTTCTCATTTTGACTCTTTGAATCACCTAATACTTAGTTATCTCTCTTTTTTTTTTTTTTTTTTTCCTCTTATGCAATTTTCTACATTTTGGTCAGTGCATGAGGACAGTCACATGAAGCCTCCATTTGGCTAATTTGTAGAATGTGAATTTCTGAAAAACTATCCAAATACTTTCAGGATTAACTGTTTCAATCTCTGAATTAATTAAGATAAAGCTTTTAAGGATACACAAACTAAACAAACTTGCATGATATGAGTCATAACATATTACAATAAAGTTAGACATTAAGATACAGATTTAGAAACAATTTACTGCTACATACTTTTTCTGCATATTTTTCTGTACTGTATTTTCGTTAAAACATAGAAATTTTTTTAAGTGAACTATTTTCAATGAAAAATTTCAGTTGTCATAGCTAAAGTGATCCTTTTTTCCCTTGTAATACTGAGGAGTTTCAGCACAAAATTCTAGGTTATGCAAAGAGATTCAGGATAGAACTTGCCTTTGTATTAAAAGGTCTTAATGCAGAAATCAAATCTTGAGGAAAAGAGGATGTTTTTATTATTATTTATATTCTAAATGTTTCAAGCAATATCTTTCCATTTAATTAGGGGAAAACTGACTTGTGTATGGATGAATACTCTCTGTGCTGTGATTCATCCCAAAGACATTGTTTAAGGAATTCAGTCTCCTGTGTATAAAACAATCCTACATTCTTTAGTAAATCATCATTAATTTCAAAATAAAAACGATTACTGAAACAGTTCCTATTAAGAGCAGCTCAGAAGGTAGATTTTTGTATGGAATTAAATAAACGAATTCAACAAACCAACAAACAAAATGAAGTGGCTTTTCAGATAAGTCTTTGTCAACTTGTCAACTTTTTAGAGCACCATTTAAAAAAGGCTTTCTTGTTTCTTAACCCTTTAACATCTCAGGTTATAGGGATAAAAATAGGAAAACAGTAAGTGGTTTATAGACATTTGAAATCTGCCAATGCATTTGGCAATACTGTAAGTTTGAAGAGACATTCCAACCATTTGTGAGTTTTGTTACTTCACAATGAAATAAATGGGGCCATTAGTTATGATTCACATAGTATGTGTTTACATGTATTTTACTTTTTCCTCTAGGAGCTGAGAGAAATACACAACAAACAGCAACTACAGAAGCAAAAGAACTTGGAAGCTGAGAGGCTGAAACAGAAGGAACAAGAAAGAAAGACAGTAGAACTGGAAAAGCAAAAAGAAGCTCAAAGGTAGCAAACGTCTCTAATTTAAGCCCTTTAAATAGAGGTGTTAGAGTGCAAATCATTTTGCAAACAAGTAAAAGAAACTTAAGTTCTCGGTAATATATTGCTAAATGGCCAGGATTCCCAAGACCTAGACCAAGTTTGATTTCAGTGCAGAGGATCCGTTTTAAAAGTTGGGGAATTTCTTGATTTATCCTTGAATGAGGAGCATGTTGAGGAGATGAACTTTCTACATCTGTCTGTGACTCTTTTAACTGCCAGTGATACGTACAGATTTCAGCAGTGTTACTTAAATGTGTAGTGTGCTTCTACATCTAAAGAAATTCTTGAGCAGTGTAACTAACTTAGCTCTTTCTTTTATACTAACATAAAATGGAGCTAAGTTTGTTTTTTTTTTTTGTCTCACACTTATTTATATAAAATGAAGGGCATGCAGGCTACACACCAATTCTATTCTGTCATAATTTATCAGTAGCTGTTTGATTTAATTTTTAGCAATTGTGGGGGGTTTTTATACTCAATATTAACAGATGTTGGTGAAGAGACAAAAAGAAAACAAAGGCCTGGGAATAAGAGATCTTAAATTATTGGTTATAGCATTACATGATCTATAACCTAAAGTGAATTGATAGCCTGTGTGTTACTATTTGGTGAGTGAAGTTAATTTTTACATTTCAGGCAAAACCAATGCAGGGTCTCAGTGAAAACCATATCTTCAAAGAGAAATCTTATACGTAGAAAGCAGTTAAGTTTAGATAATTCTTAAATCATTTACATAAACTGAATACCTTTAAAGATCAACTTCAGAAATATCAAACTTTCTAGGGAAACAACTTTCAATCATGAGGAAATAGCTACACTTAAATATGGTAATTCCTTGAAAACAAGAAGTTTTCCAGCTGAAGTACTGGAAGTGTAGGAACATTAAAAATATTCTGTCTCAGAACATTAAATAAAATACTCTGCTTCCTTCCAGAAAAAACAGAAATTTAAAAAACAGATTTAAAATAGGAAAGACTTCTGCCATGGAAAACTTCATGTCTGACTTTTCATGCTAGTTCAGCATTCAGACACTATTGATAATGCAAAACTTCTTGCTGCCCAAATATTCAAGCTTCTAAATTGCAATTGGTATATCTGATAATGAGCAGTCTCTCAGTCTTACTGATTTCCAACAGACAGCAGAATGAATAAGGTAAATGATTAATACTCATAACCTGGATACTCCCCCTTAGTGATTACGGAAGTATGCTGCCTTTTAATAACTCTAAAGCAGAGAGAATAATCTAAGAACATAGTTATGTGCACTATAACCTGTGACTAAATGGATATAACCACAATCACTTTCTTAACAATTTTTTGTTGGTAATTATGCACTGAATTGTGCACATAACTTAATTGAGCAAACAAAAATACGGACATACATATTTGGGGATGGTAAAGGTCTTTTTGAAGACCCTCTATGGCTATTTAGTCTCAATTAGCTTAAGGTTAATTCCAGGCAGACTTGCATGATTCTACATGAGTAATACACAGTTCAGAGGGGAAAAAAAACCCTTTGCGTTTGACTAAAATGAGTAGAACTTACTCTTGGTGTTTGGGATAAGAACTACCTGAGTGGTATAATGCAGTTGGTGAGAGAAAAATAGAAACTGAAAAGAGTAAAAGCAGGTATAGGTAAATCCCAGATGAGAGGTCCTATTCCACAATAATTAACATAGCAGGAGTCTTGAAGTAAGGAAAAGAGTGAAATATCAAGTTTTCTGTTCCTAACCCCAAGTTGTAGCTCTCACACCTAGGCTTGTGTTTCTTTTCTGTCTATTCTTATTCCCTGCCTTGTCTTCAACTCGTGATATTAGCTTCCATAACAATCAAAGAAGAAATTCCTGCAGCTTCTATGGAAGGAAAAAAGAAATCACACACAACCCCCACTTCCGCGGGATACATTTTTTGTCTGCTATTCTCGGTCCAGCAGTTAGAGCAAACTTGGTTTATAGGTATGGGAAGAGTTAATCACTCTGCTGGAACATAATTAAAAACTCAGTTTCCTATCTAAAGCCTATCTGACTAAACTCACCAGGTAAGACACTACTCAAGTCAAAAGAAAACTGAGCTCTGTATAGCTATGTGGTACAACTTCAGTGTTGCAAGAAACTGTTGAGTAATTGGCTCTGAATACTTTGTAAATGAACATAAGGAGGACAAATTAAGTTATTAAAACAGAAGGCTGTCAGAACAGTGAATTTATTAACTTGTTAGATGAGTTAACATTGAACACAGAAAACTGTAGCAGTTTTTCATAGAGGAGGAAGTGATACTCTTCACATTAGTGTCTTAACCTGTACTCATGGTATACAGATGTGGAATATTGGAATGGTATCAGCAATTTTATTGAGAACCAAAGATATTTTTTTTTTTGAGCTTGTAAGTTAGTAGCTGCCGTCTTAGATACTGAGTACCTTGGCATCTTTCAGAAAATATTCTTGTCAACTCAACTCAAAACTTACATTGATGGAGATGAGATTTTTGCACTGTGGTGCCAACCTACTGTTTGGAAAGTGGATGTTTCCCCTTAAGGAATTCATTTTTTTTTTCCTCCTCACAGTTTTTGTCCAGGAACTGATGTTGTCTTTGGACAAAATAGATTCTATATAGTAGGCCAAGCCTGTGATAACCAGCTTGTCGTCATGCGTTTGTCACTAATTTTCTAAGTGTGAAGAAAGTATAGAAGTGGAATAGGTCATGGAACAAAATAAAGTGCACCTGTTGTAGCCATTTAGAATTATCTTTACTGGTGCAAAATGTTTCTGGCAGAGAATATTTATTCTTTTCTTCTGTTGTCTTATCCTCTGTTGGAGAGGAAGGATTTGCTGGCTTTCGCAGCTGGAATGTAAAATTTTCTGAATAGTTCTGCAAGAGTGCTGTATGAAGCTTGCAGATATTTTTACTTCCTGCCCCTCAACAGGAGGATCAGGACTGCCATATTTTCTGATTACTGTTGCTTTTTTGTTGTTTTGGTTTGGTTTGGTTTGGTTTTTTGTCTGATTGGGCTATTTTGAGTCTTACTTAAGGATGTTTGTGGCTTTGAGAAAATAAGCAGAACCAATTTGTTTGATTGGTATTCCTGACTTCTTCCCATGTTGTAGAGCTGAAGTCAGTCCTGAGCAGATAAAAATTGAAGTGTATAATTTACTGCTTATTTGGTTTCAGGGAAAACCTTATGGTAAGAATTCATTATTGAAAATGTCTGGTGATAGCCATGGCTGATATCTACAGGCCTAGATTAAATAAAAGAAATTGAGGGATAAATGAAAATGATAACTAGCAATGCTGATATCATGGGTACTCAGATTTCTTGAATTAGACTGCTTGGGAAGAGATTTTGAAAATCAGCCTTACAGTTACATGGAACCAAAAACCTTATGTCTGCGTTCTTGGATGCCGAGGAGTTTTGTTTCTTCAGCCAAGGGAGATTTTTTTTTTCCCTCTTTTCTTCCTCCTTTCATCGTATGGTTCATCACTTAAAACAACAGCATAGGATTTATGAATCTAATGGAAAATTATGAAAAGCGAATATACAAATATTGAGTCCCCAGGTTGAGACACAGCTGTTGTTGAATTGAAGAGGTGGGACTGAAAGTGTAAGGTACTGAGTATTATAAAGCTTATAGTATTCAGACCATTGCGAACTGATTAAGATACTGTTCTAGGATACCTGTGTAAAGTTTCATACAATAGTTAGAAAAACACAGCTAAATATATTTGTTTTCATGTCATTGAAGATCAGAATCACAGAATCACAGAATTGTGGTGGTTGGAAGGGACCTCAGAGATCATCGAGTCCAACCACAAAAAAACAAACAAACAAACAAACAAACAAAAAAAACCAAAAGAAACCACACCACCCACCACCTAAACACACAACAACAACCAAACCAAAAAACCATCACCCACCCACTCAGCAGCCCACGACAAACCAATAATCTTGGGCACTAGAGCATGCCCTGAAAAAACATGTCTACACGTTTCTTAGACATGTTGAGAAAGACAATGAGAAGACATCACAGTGTCAGTAAAGAAGGTAAAGTTTAGCATTTACAAATCCCTGAAGAACTCTAACAAGAAAAAGTAGTGTTGAATGTTTTTTTCCTATCTTACATTCTGCTGCAAAACATAACTGGTTTGTCATTTCTGTACGCTCACGTTGCTCTGTACCTCTTTTAGAGTTCTGTGGAATTGGATTGCAAAGGTACGGAATTGACACATGATTTAAAATTAAAAAATAAAGGTAGTTTTTTTTCAACGCAAAGACAAAGCAACTCAAGGTAATGGAGGCCTGTGCTTAGTAGTAGGTTGCATGAAATAGTGTTTTCTCACTTGTCTGAGAGTCACAGTTCTTTCTTTATGAATATATATGGAGTCATATCAAATCTTTCTGAATATTTGTGCTTTGTCCTCGAGAAGTAATTGTGCAAGAAGATGATGTGGAGTGGTAGATAACTCACCAAAATAAAATTAACAGCTCCTACATGGTATACAATAGCCATAAAGACTATGCTTTATACTATAGGTCACACAAGGACAACTAACTTTTATGGTCTTTTATTCGACTGGCTTAAAAAACACCTAGTTTGTCCAACAGGCGAATCCAGGACCGGGACAAGCAGCGGCTTGATCGTGTGCAACCAGAAGAAGAGCTTCAGTGGCCAAAAAAAATTCAGGAAGATGAGAAGCAAAAAAGGGAAGAAATAACCAAGAAGAAGGAAAGTGAGGATAAGGGGAAACAGGAAATGCAAGAGAAACTGAGTAAGCTTTTCCAACCACATCAAGAGCCAATCAAGCCAGCTGTCCAGGCCCCTTGGTCAAATGCAGGTAGAGGAAAAAATCAGGAAGTGCTGTTGCACGTCCCTCTTCAACAATTCTTTTCTGTTTTCGATTTAATTCGGAAGAATATTATGTTTTAAGACTGGATTCCTAGTCTTACCAAAGTAAATAATGTATGGATTGAGCTCTAGACTCCAAAAAGTTGTTCTTTTAGGCTTCACTATACTTCCTAAAAGTATGGTATTTAGCAGAGTGTAACACATAGTTGATGAGATTCACAGTGCCAACTGAAGAGACAGCTGTAGCTGTAACTTGTTGTAAGATCTTGTTGCAAGATGTCAAAAATTACTTCTGTACTTTTCTTTACAGTTCATATTTTGGTGTGGAATATATGCCTTGAGATTTTTTTTAGAATAGTAGCAATATGTAATTCAGTTATCCTTTTTCCTCTTCTCCATGCACGTTGTTTACTGAACAAATGACCTAAAGTCGAAGATTTAATCCCGTTTTATCTGCTATACATATGATCACTTTCAGCTGAGAGCTTTTTCTCTGCATTATAACCTGATTTTTACCCATATTGGGAATCATGGTTCCTCCTTAACTGGATGATACACAGACAAGAGAACTGATTGGGAATGTAATATTTGTTTAAATATCTGACCAAAGATTGCATAAAGGGGAGATTACCTTCTATCTTTTTGCCGAAATCCAGAATTGACTTAGTCTAGTATGTCCTCTTGCTAGGTTTCATTTGTGTAGAGTAGCAGAGCGCACTTTTGTGACCAAATAGGAATTGCATTATACAAGAGCAATTAGGCTTGTATTTTTGAAGCTTTTCTGTATTTCTCTTTTTCTAATAATGCATTTTTAGCATGTAATTTTTTTAAAACGCCATCTGTAAGTGACCTCTTTTCAGCCAATTGGTATGTAGTAGGACATTTTGAAACATCTTTCTTGGAATTATAGTCAGGCTGCAAATGAAGATGCTACACAAGCAGGCTCTAAAAGTATTTGGAATACCATTGATATATGCAAGACTATCAGTGTTTGAGTTGAACCTGTGGCTGATGAGATTTAACCTACAAAATAATTCAAGCATTTGAGAGGTTACATATATTGCATCATATGTACATGGTTCTTTCTATGAAAATAGTTGTATATACCGTAAAAGTCAAAATACAGTAATATTTTACCTGATCTTTAGAAAAGAAAGTAGTAAGAAAATTGTATTTTAAAAGATTCCTTTTAGTATTTCTCCTTGTGTATGAGGGAGATAACATACTTTCTACAGACAATGTAAGGCTTGTTAATTTTTGTCTCCGCTTTCACCTCATTTTTCAAATATTTAAAAATAATGTATTTTGATTTTTTTCTTTGTATCTGTGTTTTTTTTCCTTTGCTCAGAAAAAGCTCCTCTAACTATTTCTGCTCAGGAGGATGTAAAAATAGTGTATTATAGAGCTCTGTATCCTTTTGAATCAAGAAGCCACGATGAAATCACTATTCAGCCTGGCGACATAGTCATGGTAAGAAGGGGTTGTGATATTACTTGAAAAAATTACTTAAGCTTTTGCACTTGAGTGATTGAAATTATGTATGGCAAGACTTTTTACAGACTTGAGACAAATATTTCAGTGAGTACCAAAATGATGTGATATGACATAGTAACCCTATTATAATAATGGATAGTTTCCTACAGTTCATTGTAAGTGCAAAGTTTAAACGTAATCTATGAGCAGATCCTATCAGGTTTTTTTTATGCTGAGCTCTGTGTGTCTGTCAATGTGTTTGAAAAGGTTCCTATACAGAAGGTATCTCAGTGAGAGGTTTCTTGTCCTCCAAGGTACCTGGAGAATAAAGTTACTGTTATTTTCTTTTGAGAGAGTGGCTATTATGTGTGGAATCAAAAACTGACTTTGATAAATAGAGTATGTTTCCAATGAGAAATTTGCCTCTTTAAGGGGAGAATACAAGAGAAGTGTTAAATTTGTAATGTGGAAAATTGCCTTTGTTAAGAGAATGTTATGTCCAGTGTAATACTATGTGAGACAATTACACTAAACTACAAGGCTACACTTGTGTCATGATCACATAAACATTAACGTAGTCTCTCTATAGTGGTGATACTTCTTCAGTAATACTGGCAATTTTTTATACAACTCTTCTAGTGACAGTTTTTGACATAATGATCTAGTGTAATTGTAGCTTGGAATAGTTTGTACAATAATTTACTCTGTTCATTTTTTAATCTACTTAACTCTTTTGTGAGATACTTTTACATTTATTTTCAATAGAATATACAGTAGGTAAAATGGCGTTTATAAAAAATTGAAACTTCAAAACCTAAAAGTTTGGTTGGAGGTGTGTTAATAGATAATAATTTCCTTTCTTTTTTTCAAGTAGATGATGAGATACAGGGATATGGTCAAACTATAACTGTCATGTTAAACTCTAAAGTGATAGTCTGTCTCAAATGATCTCCAAAATTGTAATCATGTTATTAATGACTGCAGTTCTTAAGTGTGTATATTAATATTAATAAATTACTACTATGTAGTAATTTGCATATGTATATTCATAATGAAAATTCCGAGTGCAACTATTGAATGCTACCTTGTTCACTGTGGGAAAGTATATTCCTTGTAGTGTTCCACCCAACAAAATAGATTTTAAGAGCTATTGTGTTTTGCCACAGTTCAGTAAGAATGGAAAAAATACGCTATGTAGACTCTCATAAGTTGTTATGATAACTATTTTCTAGAAAGCATGTATTCTGGGGAGATGAGGCTTCATCTCTCAGCCTTTTGGGTTTGTTTGTGTGGGTTTTTTTATTGACTCAGCTCTGTCACATTGAAGTGTTTGTGACATTAGAATCTGCTTTTGGAAAATAAAGGGTAAATCCTGGATTAGTAGCACTACTGAATGACTCGGGAAGAGGCCCAATGCCATTCTGAAATACAATGCAATGTGTTGTTATTCTGCACCAAGAAATAATATCGGTCAGTCAGGTGTTAAATGAGAGAGGATACAGGTACATGGGTCTCCTCAGGCTATTGAAAAATGTTGTATTGTCTTGTTCCCTGGGGAAATAGGTTGTAGCTTAGGCGAATAAGTAAATTGTTTTTTCCTTGAGCAAGAGTGATCACTATTATCTTGTTCCCTTTTGAAATAGGTTGTAGCTTAGGAGAATAAGTAATTGTTTTTTCCTTGAGCAAGAGTGATCACTATTAGTTAGACTTGCAAGGAAATAACATTTTTGCCCAAAAAAACATGATACTAAGGAGCACTTCACACATTTAAATAGAGGCTTTGAAGTAATCTGAGTCTTCCTATATGTTACTTTTGGACTTTATTTTAATTTACTCTACAAAAGTAGAGTAGAGTAACTACTCTCAGTTTTCTTTGTTTACTTTTGACAGTAATTAAACCTCATGACTGATTCTTGTGGGATTTATCTCCGGCTCTGTAGTAATTGCTTAAATGGGCTACTATTAGAAAAGTTAATATAAGAAAGACACTTTTTTGAAATGTGTTATAATTCTGCCTTGCTTTAAATCATTGCTTTCCTGATGGAGGTTAAAAGGGAATGGGTAAGTGTGCCATACGGCTGTTAGGAAGTCTATGCAATTTATTCATTTTCATAAATACAGGTTTTGTTACCATGTAGTTTACTTGTTTTTTGAATTCACCTAGGGTAAAATTAGCTAGTTCACATTGTCAAAAGTAATTTAAGTGCAATAGACCAGAACTTACTTTTGATAATGGGCATTTGGACTCCTAGACTCTTCTCTGTCCTTAAGTGTTTGTCATGTCCTGTGGTTCTAAAAGGTTTGGGTCGGTTACGCTTTTTGGAAAATAATAATTTACAAGCTTACATGTTAAAGCGTGTCTAATTTATGACATAACTGCAACTCTGTAGTTAAGCTGTAGTTAAGTTAAACAGTTAGGAGTTTGCTGTGTGCAACAAAATAAGTATTGCATAAAGTAACTGTGTTCAAACATAGGCAAATTTAGTAAGTACTTCAGCATTTTAACAGATAAATGGCTTCATGTGTGCAGGCTTGTGCATTCATGTCCTGTAATCATGTAGCTGTACAGAAGATACCACCCAAACTGTAACTGCCATGAGCAAAGAATCCAGCTGAAGCCCAAATGCATTGACTGCGCACAAGGGAACCAGGCCTAAATCCTGGATGTAAATAGGACTGCAGAATTCATTATGTCAGAATGACTTGTGGCTTTAATAGATGTATAGCTTGTAAATAGTTTTTACAACCGTGTAATGCACTTTTACACTGTGCATGAGTCTTGAGACTTGTCTCAGTGGAAATGAGGGAGAAGGATGAGGGTTTATTCTGAAAGGAAAAGTATTTGCAAATTTTGAGAAGGGCTTTCTTCTGCCTGAATTTACAGTACACATTAGTTATCTGTAGCACTGGTGTATCTTGTGTAATAATGTAGAGAATGCGTGGGGAGTGGGCTGTATTTTTTTTAATTATTCCATTTTTTAGATTTCAATACTTCTGCTTTTTCTCTTAAATTTGGATTTCTGCTTTCTCTGCTTCTTACCTTTCTGTGTATTTTAAATTTCTTTCACTGTAAACTAGATTGATTGTAACTACAACTTAATCAAGCTTTTGTCTGCGAACAAATATTCTGAGCCAAGAAAGTCATGCTTCTTTCAGGGTTCTGTCTGTTCAGGAAGTTAAGTTTATATTATGTGTATATATGTATGAAATTAATTTTATGTATAGAATGCATGGAATTCTTTTCCTTTGGATAGCACTCTTGCAAAACGTCCTGCTGGCATTTGCTGCTGTTAGGCTCCAGCTTGAAGTAAATGAATGGATTCTGTTGTTGCTGATAATATTTCATAGAATACAGTTTATTTAAACGTAAGCATAATTCAATGAAATACAGGTGAATTATTGAATTACTCAACTGTAATGATTCTGATAGCAGGAGAACATTAGTTAAGCAGGAAGTTCATAAAGAAGCTTCCATGGAAAGTCTAAAACAATTTCATGATAGTTTGTTATCAGGTTTTTAAATATTGATTGCAAGAGTTAGAATGAGTGTTCTTTGTGTTAGACACATAGACAGCCTTGTTGTGTTAGATCCTGTGTAGGCGTAATCAGCATATGGCCTGTGGCTGCAGAGCTTATATTCAGCGTTATAACAGGAATTCCAGTAGTCTCAAAATATCTAGATCAAAAGCCTACAAATGGAATAGAATTAAAATGGTCATCTAATGGATAGAGAGTTGAACAAAACAGATTATGGTACTCTGTTTAGCTTTGATTAAATACTTTTTTATGAGAATATTAGGGTTTGGCTTCGTATGTGGAATGAATATCTGCCATAAAACAGGGCTTCTCTTTGTGTGTGCATGCACTGCTGGTGATACGCAAGCCAGGTCAAAGTGGAGTAGGCCACTGCAAAGCCAGCTCTTCTGTTGACAGAGCTACTAACTGGACTTACTGCTTTTGCTGATAAGAGTTGTGGTGCTGTTACTCCTGTCACTCCTGTTCAGTTGCTGGAAATACGTAGTTGTAAGTCGTGGCTTTACAGTACAGTTGAATAAATAAAACCACACACACTGTAAGTCACGATTTAGGTGTACATTTAAAGTCTGGTTGTATTTTGGAAAAAAATAATCTGGGATAGTTTGTTGTATGGACTTGGGGTGGTGGGTGTAAAACCATAAGGAAATTGGAACAAATGAATTTTAAAAGGTTCAAGGGAATGTATTTAAAGTTCCAGTACTATACTATAAAAACAGATGCAAATTATATTTTATTTTAATAACTGAGAAACCAGATTTTTTTATGAAGGATAAAGTTAAAATTATCCTTCGAAGTTCCTTTTCTTGAATATACATAGAAAACTTAGTTGTACTGAATAAGCGCAACTTTGACTATCCTAGTAGGGTATTTTATGAAATATTTTAACTTTAAACTGTCATCTAAAGAGGCATTACATCGGTTGCTTTTAAAACCTATTGGTAGGTTGGTTGGTTTTTTTTCTCTGCTTGTACAAAACATTTCTTTCTGAAAAATCACAATAGTTTTTGTATGACTGTGATGAATTTCAAAGGTGTCCTTTTTAGAACTTCACTATAACAGATTTTTGGCTTTTCAGCCCTGATTCTTTTGTAAGTTAGTGATTGTAGTTACTACCTGACCAGCTGAGTGAGAGTGGAAGCTATATGAGTATCATTACTGTTTATATTATTGAACTTGGCATCAGGTGTTGATAATCCATTTCTCCCTCTCTCTCACAAGATTCACCCTCTGCTGTGACCTTCCATCACTCGTACTGCTGCTTTAACAATCCTATTCAGTGCTGCAGTGGAAATTTTGCTCTGCACTGCAGTAAAACCACATTGAACCGGTCAAGCATGTAGTCCATTTATTTCTGGGTTTGCTTTGAGTTAATAGGGACCGAGACAGAAAATGGACCCAACAGAAAGCAGAAATAATGGATTGTTTTGCACCAAATGAGGGGTGTGGGATACAAATTGCAATAGGAGGCAGTCAAAGAGTCATCAACTGGCCTAAGGCAAAGCAATCTATCAGCAGCTCAAATGAGTAGTCCGGGAACGATCAGACACAGAAGCTCTGCTGCTTTGGTTTCAGTCAATTTTAGGCAAAAGAATGGTCCCACCTTTAGTCTAGAGCAACTAGTTTGCACCTCAAATAATATTTTTTTTGCTACTATTTTTTTTTCCTCCAAATAAGCAGTGGATTGGGTTATATATTTGTTAAAATTGATGGAGTGAAGTCATAGTTGTTTTTCCAACTGTAGAAGCATCTAGCTCCAGATACTACTATATGCTATTTTTGTATAGAATCATAGAATGGTTAGGGTTGGAAGGGACCTCAAAGATCATCAAGTTCCAACCCCCCTGCCATGGGCAGGGACACCTCCCACTAGACCAGGTTGCTCAAAGCCCCATCCAGCCTGGCCTTGAACACTTCCAGGGATGGGGCATCCACAACTTCTCTGGGCAACCTGTTCCAGTGTCTCACCACCCTCATAGTAAAAAATTTCTTCCTGAGATCTAATCTGAATCTTTTTTCTTCCAATTTAAAACCATTTCCCCTTGTACTATCATTACACCTCCTGGCAAAGAGTCCTTCCCCAGCTCTTCTATAGGCACCCTTCAGGTATTGAAAGGCCGCTATATATATACACATATATACATATACATATATATATATAATGTCATATCCTGAAAACTTCTTTGACTGAAAAGGATACTATTTCTTATTCCTCAGCTCATGAAACATTCTCCTATCAACAAACTCCTCACATTGATTATGGTTTTTAGGAAATAGTGTTGAATGACTTAGAAGTGCATATTTAAGCATCTCTGCCTGCCGTACTGTTTTCTGCCATGGTCAGGTCTTGAGTTACACTGTTGTTTGAAACTCTTATGTATTTTGAAATACTATTTGCTAGTGGCCTAAACAGATGAAAGGAATTTTTGACAAAAAACAGCCGCTGTGTAGGGTTGGCCACCTGCCTTCATTACTGGCCTGGTTTTACTGCTGACTTGGTCATTGCTGCGGAATCTGCAGCTATGCACAGTAGATTGTTGTACAAAGTAGGTGTTATTTACATGTCAAAGGTACAAACTCTATTCATATGTTAGGGTTTTCTTGAAAACTGGGATTTTTTTCACCTATCGACGTGATTAGTTAGCTAGAACACCAAATTTACAAAATTATAGAATGCTATTATGGCTTTTTTCTTCTAGAAAGTTTCTGCAACTGACATTGCCCTGGAGGTATTTACCACCATAGCAATTCACCAGGGGCAGCAAGAGTGAATTACTTTTCTTCTGTGCTTCTTGCTGAATGTGGATAGCTGCAGCTCACGGAATTTAAAAGGATCACTTTTGTTGAAATAGCAGACTAAGAAAGTTGTCTGTCAGTAGAGCTTGGAGAACAAATGCGTGAAATGTGTAAGAAAAGTTAATGGGAAAATGTGAAGTTTGCTAAATTGCAGCTTAACACGATGATAATAATAAGTAGGAATTGATATACAGCTACAAAAATAGCCATGTTTCATCCAGTACTTTATGGCTTGACAAAGGTATCAGAGTGAGGGGACAGAACAGAGGTCTGCAAATTTACATATGAAAACTTACCATGGAACTGTTTTATATAAATATGTTAGCAAATCTGTGGATTTGTTTTGAATTGTTCAATGGGTGTTGTTTTTAATATACTGTGGTTCTTTATTGTATTTTCTGCAAGAGAAAATTTTGGAAAACTTGTTTAAAAACTGCATCTTCTGTTAGTTAAGCCAGAAATATCAGTATTTAAGGGGTTTATCTAGAACTCCTGACAGGTCTGCTGTACTATGAGAGACTTCTAAGCAACTGTTTTAAAACCCATGCAACAGGACTGAAATAAAACTTCTTTACCTCATCACCAAGAAATCCTTTTGATTTTGGCTTGAGTGAAAGAAAAAAGGAAAAAAAATGCAAAGAATTGCAAAGCAGTATTGTGTTGCAAATGTTCCCTTATATATTAATACACTATAGAAGGAATAGCTGTCAACGTAATCCTCCAAAGGTAAATTAAATAACAACAACAAAATTCTACATAGCTGTAACTTGTATTTGTAATGAAGGTGTCATGGATCTGTAACTAGAGAAAGTTAATTACTGTGAATGAGATGGTTTGTTTCAAGTAAAAATTCCATTTGTGTGTGATGTTTCTTAACTTTCTAACTTAATGCTTCTACAGGTGGATGAAAGCCAGACTGGAGAACCTGGGTGGCTTGGTGGAGAATTGAAGGGGAAAACTGGATGGTTCCCTGCAAACTATGCAGAGAAAATACCTGAAAATGAAGTTCCAGCTTCTGTAAAGCCAGCAGTTGAGGCAGCTGCTGCACCTAAAGTTTCTGTGCATGAAACCACTACGTCGCTAGGAGCTCCTGCTTCTACAGAGTGTACTACAACTGCCAACAACTGGGCAGACTTCAGTTCAACGTATGTTTGGGTAGTGATTATCACCTTAAATGTGGTGGAGTCCTTTTAATCAATTTGACTGTGGTGTCAGTTAACACAGAGCATCAAGATTGCAAAATAAAAATAGCTTGTTTGAAGGAAAATATTTTTTCCGTAGTAAATAGTTAAAATCTCAACCTTGTGGAACTTTAACTATGCTCCCATCATGGTTAAAGTCCCATCATGCCTGAGCAATGCAGAAGGACACATCACAAACAGGAGACATTCCTGAGTGAGGATGGTGACGTGGAAATCCCAAGGTGTTCACCTTCCTTCTCTTAAATTATTTGACACGAATTGTCACTGAACATTAATAAGACTGGTGTGTGTGGAACATGTGGCCTTCCCTAGATGTCTTGTTAACGCAACTTAATCCTCTCTGCAGTATTATCAACCCTATGTAAATGGGGTTGGGTAAGTAATTGTCTTACCTTGTGATCATGTAATACATATTTATAAATTAAAATCTAAATATTGTTGTGCAATATTACAATGCATAATATAATTGGTTTCAAAATATACATCAAATAGGTCACAGTAGCTTTTCCAGTTATTTAAACTTTTTCTGTTTTACTACAAACAGTCATTTTTCTGAGTGGGGAGGTAAGACTAAATCTTGAGCTTCTTGGAGATGCCTGGCATGTACTGGATTTTATTGTTTTTGAACAAATCCTACTTTTGACAAAGCTGTTCTGCCCTAGGTGGATAATGCGTGCTTTCATGCTTTTCATAAAAATTAATATTCAGTTTCAATACAAAGTATTATTAATATAAATACAGATATAATTTTGTATTTGTACTAATAATACAGACCATTTATACTTATAATTCTGTCCTTGAGATGATGTAGTGGTTAGGAATGGTTGTGGCCTTTGGACACTATTATAGTCTAGGTGCTAGGTGGACAACAATTGGTTACTCCAACTAATAGCACAAGCAACAGGCAAAGGAAACTTAGGTGCTTTGTTTACACACTGAGAGTTCAGGGGATTTTGTTCATTTATGTGGTTATTTGGAGGCAGAGATGTGGATTATGAGACTTAGTAAGCATTTTAAAGGACAAGAGATAACATAAAAAGGATAAGAGGGTGTGTAAAACTAAAGAGTTGAAAGAAGTCAGTAGGAAATTATTTAAGCAAATGAAAAAAGGTAAGGATTTGAATGAGAAGCAGCAAAATTATGTATAAGGGAAAGAGATGTGAGAGGTCAGTGACACGCAGGTATAAAGATTTCAAACCTGTTTTGAAGAGGATGATGATGATGATGTTTTTTCTCTTTTAAGTTACCTCTTTACATTGTACATAGTGCAGAGTGCACTACTTGAACTTCTCTTATACTGGGGCACAGCTAAGAAATGAATCTAAAGTACAACAACAGCAAGCATTAAATAGCAAGGACGAGCAACTATATTTAGTGATTGTCTTTTTAAGATAAATTAATTGTTAGCCTGTGTTTGATTGCACTACTTCCACCTGAGAGTTACTATGCTTATGAAATATTCAATTAAAAGAAATTAACCTACAATGTAGACTGTTTTTTTATTTTCTGCACAATCTTCCTGCATGAGTGTTTTTATTCAGATGAAAATGGTAGGAATGACATCATTCTCTTTTTTTTTCTTTCCTTTTTTTTTTTTTTTTTTCCCCACCAGATGGCCAACAAACACTAGTGAGAAACCGGAAACTGATAACTGGGATGCCTGGGCAGCTCAACCGTCTTTGACTGTTCCCAGTGCAGGGCAGCTGCGGCAGCGATCAGCCTTCACTCCTGCCACTGTTACAGGATCATCTCCCTCTCCTGTCTTGGGTCAGGTGAGCAGAAACCTTTGTAAAGCAAAGTATGAACACTGAACACTGACTATGCATTAAAACAGTCCCCTGAGATAGGTAAGATATTTCAATTTGTAGTGATGAACAGGCAGTACATATCCATTTGCAAAATCCGTGGCAGAATTTCACATGAAGCAGCTTCTGTTCTGCTATTCTTTACTGGCTTTTTTAGACTTTTGTGGTCCAGTCTTAATGTTTTGGAGGATGTCAATTTTGGATCACTTCCTTGGGGCTTTCCTGAATTACATGACAATAACCTTCACTCCAAATTGGATTACATAGTTAAGTGGAATAGCAATGGCAAAGCTTCCCATCAGATGAATGCTGTCCATCTGTTAAGGCATTTCCTTTTCCTCAACTGAACAACATACTGTTCTTGTAAGCTCATGTCTTCTGAAAAATGCTAAATATCTTAGTATCTTAGAGGAAAGACAAAACTTGGAATGCACAGTGAATAATTCATGGTAAAGATCATTTTCTATAAAGTTTATTTTAAGTCCTGCCAAAATAGCTTCATGAGAATTTATTAGATGTATATCTTAATTGTAAACTTCATTTAACTTGTTAAGCAAAACTTTGGATAATCTTGCTTTGTATTGATCATGTGTTAACAGATAGAAATGTAGGAGGACTGTAAACATTTCTGGTATTACTTTGTAAGTTTAATTGACTTTGCTTTATACGGTTGATGGAGAGTCTGTGTATTTTGTTGCTATATAAGTAGCATAAGAATATAATTCTTTAAGTGGCTTTCTTTATGAAAGGTGGTGCATGACTGACATCTCTTTTTTTTTTTTTTTTCTTTTTATATTGCATTAGGGTGAAAAAGTGGAGGGACTTCAAGCACAGGCTTTGTATCCTTGGAGAGCGAAAAAAGACAACCACCTTAATTTCAATAAAAATGATATCATCACAGTTTTGGAGCAGCAAGATATGTGGTGGTTTGGAGAGGTTCAAGGACAAAAGGGGTGGTTTCCTAAATCGTATGTGAAGCTTATTTCAGGCCCCATTAGGAAGTCAACGAGGTATTTTATTTGCTTTTGCCATACTTTATTTCTGTACTGTAACAGTTGAATAAACATGAAGAGTTGCGCAGTTGAATATTGAAGTTTAGAGTCTACTCTGTAAAAATATTTTTTTATTTTTTGTTTTTAAAAGTGACTCTCTTCTGAGGAGTTTTGACTTCCAACCCTGGAAATTCATGTGAGGAATAAGAAAACCAACCTTAGTTTTCCTTGGTCATGCATCACCAACAAAAGACCTGAAGCTTAATGAATGGTCTTAATTTCATGGGATTTGCAAATGAGTGTATTGGAATTTATGAATTACAGCTATGTAATCATAGCTTATCTTTCCCCAAAATAAAAAGGTGTACCTCAAAATGTAATCACTTAGTACTTTTAGAGGCGGAAGCAATCAAAATCTGGTTCTGTGTGATATGAAGGCAACATTAACATTAGTAATACAAATGAGAATGGTTTTAGATTGTTATTTTTTTTTCTGAGGGAGAGGAAGAGGTGCAGAAATGTGTGTATTTAAGACAGTTTCCTCAATGTAACCATGACCATAACCATTATACTTAAAAGCTTTAATTTGCGCATTTACTGTCTCTTCTGTGAAACTGTAGGGAATTGACTATGGGTGCATATGCATTTTTTTAGTTTTAAATTATAATAATAATTTTTCTGAAGAGTTTTAATTTCTTAAATAACCGTTATTTTCTTCTAAAGCATGGATTCTGGTTCCTCAGAAAGTCCTGCTAGTCTGAAAAGAGTAGCATCACCAGCAACAAAAGCAACTACGTCAGGTGAAGGTAAGCATTTCAAACTGAATGGCATTAATAGTATTTTACTATGTAATTAAATAGAATAAGTCTGCTTATTACCAGAAACAAACTTAGAATCAGATCTTATTATTTTAAGATCGGGCTTGTTAAAATTCAGTTGCACTTCAATTTGTCTCTAGAATGATTTAAAATTATTATAGTAAGAATTTATATATGCTACGTATATAGAAGAAATAATTTCACATGCCATTAAAATATCATCTGTACTTTGTACTGTTTCTTGCATAAATATTTTGGTAACGATTCCCAATCTGGAATGGGTTCTTGCAGAGGGCCAAATAAGCACATCTGTACATGTACTTGATGTCAAGAATTGTAAATAAATGTCTCTATTTCACCCAAAGCTCATTTCCAATGTTTCATTAAAGCTCTTAGTTAAAGAAATTACAGGCAGTTAATGGAATGTTGTGATCCTTATGGCCCAGACTTCCTCTTAGTTTTAAAGATGGAGGCTGGGGCACAGACAGATAATTGTCAGGCCTCTGAAGGGTTTTAAAAGACTTTCATTCCTGGCTGTTACCACCCTTCAGCTGGACTCCAGACGATGTCTCCACACAAGCTGTGTTAACAGACTGTGTGGGCGCTCGTAATCCGCTTCAGTGCAGAGTCAGCTAGGTTAATTTAAAGAGTAAATCAATGAATCTAAATATAGGTTAGAAATGAATATTTGTGTATAGTATCTACAGCCCACCTTGTGTTTTTTTAGCTATGATTCTATATACAATTTTAAGTGAGTCTCTTTGGTTACCAATGTATTTAATTTGCCACTGGCATGAGCACCACAGAAATTAAAAGGAGGGAATGGTAAAGATCCATGTAACAAGGAAAGTGAGTTAATCAGTTATTTCAAAATACGACTAGTCTTGGTCACTATATGATTGATGAAAAGCTATTGTAGAAATGCTAAGTCATTTTTGTGAAGTATGGGATATCTCAGGTTATATATTTGTATTAAAAAAGAACACAACTTTTTAATAAAACTTTTTTTTTAAAGCTGTATTTTTAGGAAATAATAAAGCATGGATTTAGTGTCTTCTATTACATTTAAAGGAATTAAGAAAAATTCCATGCGTATAGCATACATTATGATATTTAATGCGTGTGTTTGTGTGTACGTGCATACAAATGGGTGTGTGTGTTCTTCAGCCGCAGTTGTTAGACAAACCATGTCTTAGCTTTCATTACGGATAGTGATTGTGGTTTGAATTCAGGCTGAACTTCCTAGAGCTAAGCGTTTTGGTGAGATACAGCGTTCAAGCAAACAGAACAATTGCCAGCTGCAGTGGAATACTTGAACATTTTTGTTACATATGCATGAAAGTCTTCCTAAATATTATGAATGGCTCTTAGGTCCAGAGCTGGTCCCAGAAGCAGAGGATATAATCTTCAGAAATTGCTTTGTGCCCATATGAATTGTGATAATGCTCAGTTAAATTAGAATGTATCGAGTTGTATAGAAAATGTTACTCAATTTTCTGAAATTCTTCTTTGTAATCAGTTGTGTAAAAAATTTTCATGTAGTTCTGTGATTGAATTATACATTGCATTTCTCAACATCAGTCGTCTTTAGTGGTTTTGCACTTGAATACTAAGTGTTTTAACAAAACAGAACACATTCAGGCTTTGTCTTAACATTTCCCAGCCATCTGTTGCGTAAGATGCAATGAGATGTGCACCCTTCATGCAAAGCTTCAAGTAATGAAAGAATTCATTGTATACAAGAGCCAAACAGCATATGTAAGATGAAGACTGGATCTACAGATATTTGGATGCTGAGACTTTCCATCCCGAAGACTGAGAATTTGAACCCTCAGCACAAACCGGAAACCATTGGGAAATGTTTTCAGAGTAGTTTCTGATATGAATTAATCATTTAGGTGCATTTTAATTATACTAGCAAATTATTAAAAAAAAAAAATTCCCCAGAAGCAGCCTTTTGACAGATTACATTTAGTTCTGATAGATATCATTTTATGCATTAAATATTGAGGTTTCTATGAATGGTAATTAATAAATTTGTCTTCTGTGTAGCCTGTGGATAGACTACGTTATATTAGTTAGATTTTGCATATGATTATTGAGCAGTTTATCAAGTGTTTTCCCATGTTCTGTATTTATTTCCCTCTTGCAGAGTATATTGCTATGTATACATACGAGAGTTCTGAACAAGGAGACCTAACTTTTCAACAAGGTGATATGATTCTTGTGACAAAGAAAGATGGCGACTGGTGGACAGGAACACTGGGTGATAAATCAGGAGTTTTCCCATCTAATTATGTGAGACTCAAAGATTCTGAGGTAGAGACATATTGAAATGTTATAATATTGAGCTGGGGGGGGGTGTGTGTATGTTTTGTTTGGTGTTGTAGTGGTAGTTCCAAGGCAGTGGATCATAAGGGAACAAAAAATATTTTGCAGTTTTACTGAATGAGAGATTGGAAAGGGAAAACAATAATAGTTGCATTTTACAACATAACATTGTAAATAACTTTGTGGATCATATACTAAAATGATTCTTGCATATGTTAATAGTTTACTTGGCAGTTTTGTAGAGACAAATCAGAGTAGCTATGACTACTTTGTTCCCCAAGTAAGCTTTTAATGACTGAGTTCTATATTACTGCCATTATGGTTTAAAAAAAATAGAGAGACTAATATTTCAGTCTATTATCTTTTTTTTCCCTGGTGTCATTTTCTTACAATCAAGGGGAACAAATTTTGCTAACTACTATTTTAATTTGAAAGTTATTGACTGAATAATAGAGGTTCTGTTTCATTTGGTTTGTATCCTGGAAAAATGCCATAGAACACGTTTTGGGGTTTTTTTTCATTCTTTAGATATTCTAAAGAAAGATATTTTTTCATTTATATTCCTCATCTGTTTGAGAGGATAATTCATGTACTAGTAGGAATTAGCTTAGAATCATAGTTGAATACAAAACCAATCTCTTGATAAGGAGTTCCTTGTTTATGTCTCTAAGAATAATAGGGGTTTTAAATAAATACGTAAATACTATTGGATTTTTAGAAATCTAGGTGGTAAGGCTTTTCCCACAAGTCTTAAATTCTATGTGTATGTAACACAACTCAATGAAAGACCATGTCTGCAATATAGAGCTTGAGCAAAGTTGATCCTTCAAATTATTTCTGTTTGGGGAAAAGTCAAAGAATAAAATCTGCAGTGAAGTATGTAGCTGTAGAAAGCCTTTATATAATAAATGTCTAGATAGTAGAGAAATTTCAATACCATTCTTTGAGAAAGGATTAAAAGAAATTTGTAGTTAATGATATTGCAGTCCTTGGGAGAAGTAGTTTTGTGATATTGCTTTCAGAAACATTTTAGAAACTTTTCTTATCTATATTTTGCATCATGTAACAGTTTTCTTCAATCTCTAGCACTACTAATATGAGAACTAATCAGTCTTATACTGGAGAAGTCCTGTCCCAGTTTTGATTAGTTGTTCCCTTGCATTGTGAGGTACGCTTTTCTGTGCACATTAAGACACTAGTTTCATAGAATAAAATCAAAGAATTCTTTAGGTTGGAAAAGATGTTTTAGATCGAGTCCAGCTGCAAACCTAATGCTGCCAACTCCACCACTAAACCTTGTCCCTAAGCACTACCTCTACATGTCTTTTGAATACCACCAGGGATAGTGACTTGACCGCTTCCCTGGGCAGCCTGTTCCAATGCTTGATAACCCTTTCAGTGAGGAATTGTTTCCTAATATCCACCCTAAACCTGCCCTGACGCAACTTGAGGCTGTTTCCTCTTGTCCTACCACTAGTTACCTGGGAAGAGACTGACCCCCACCTTGCTGCACCCTCTTCTCATGTAGTTCTAGAAAGTAATAATGTTTCCCCTAAGCCTCCTTTTCTTCAGACTAAATAACCCCAGTTCCCTCAGTGGCTTCTCATAAATAAGACTTGTTCTTTAGAACCTTCACCAGCTTCATTGCTCTTCCTTGGATGTGCTTCAGCCCCTCAATGTCCTTCCTGTAGCGATGGGCCCAAAAGTGGACACAGTGTACGAGGTACGGCCTCACCAGTGCTGAGTACAGGGGGACAATCACTTCCCCAGTTCTGATGTCCACACTTTCTGATGCAAAATGATCATTTGTAACCCATTTTATGTGAGCACAGGTGCAGTCCAACATTTTTGCTGCCACTGTCTTTCATCTGACCTGTTAATAAGCCAGTTCAGGACAGTAAGCAGAGCAGAAAACTAGTCTAGCAGAAGTAATATATACTTCTAATATGGTACTCTGAATCAACTCAGCAAGACTTAAAACAATGTCAGTACCAGAATTAATATGGGGGGAGAGTAGTGAAGGAGGTAAGATTGCCTCAGCATCAGCTTAGATTAGCTTCAGCTGGTTTTGAACTGCATTCTTAGCTGGTTTTGTGTTAAATTCCCTTCATTACAGAAGGGAAACACCATACTTTACTTTTAGTATATGTTTTTGGATATGCCTGGACTCCTTCCTACCTTTCAGTTCTGTCACATCTAGTGACTATGGAGCAGCAGATAGTTAGATCAGGTCCCAGGAAGAGGACTTCCAGGTCCCCCTGGAAGAGGAGTACTTAGTGGTTCAGTTAGTGGAAGCATTGCAGCTGTAGCACTATGGAGCCCATCACAGCAGGCTAGATTGTCTTCTTGAAATTAGAGTAAATTTTGTAAAGTGGTGTGTTGTGATAGGGTATAGGTTTACCCTGACAACAGAGCTCAGTGAGAGTCTGGACAAGAAATGCTGATCTCTCTGTCCCCAAGGCTAGCAGCTTGATTCTCCTTTGAGAGTTGCGACATCCTTCAGTTGTGGCCCCAGAGGTGTTTGTGGGTTTGCATCAGGGAATTTACATGGTTAAGAAAAGTGTTCCTTTTTGCAATCCAGGATATGGATTGTAGTTCAGACCTGCCAGTAATTCTTCATATACATCAAAAAATTGGTGTCTTGCCCCATGGAGGTATTGGAATAAGTGTACAGATAACCTGTGGAATATCTTGTGATCACAAAACTTTGCCCTAAGTCTCTTTATATTACCTCTTAGTTTGTATTGTAGTTGATGAGTGGGAACTTGCACTGTCAGCTTTCTAAAACCCTCTGAAGCCTGTTTCATAGGTAGATAGTAATAGTTGCTAATTATATACTTAACCTCAGCTACATTCTTGTTATTTAATGTTAAGTTACCTTTGAACTTCTGTGAAGGAACTGTTTTCCCTTAAGATAGTCTCAATAGAGTTTAATCTCAAAACTTGGGAATTTATATTCAGATGTGCAGAGCTGCCTTTTGTCTGCCTTTAGGGATTAAATGGTTGTCCTGTCTGGTGGGAGACAGGCACACATATTGGCAAATCTTCTTCAGAGAGAACTCAGAAATAGGCATTTAATACTGAGAACGATTTTTATTAGAGAGGTCAATGTGGTGTCTGAGGCTGAAACAGCAAAGTGCAGTTCATCAAAAAGTGCTCCAACAACCCTTTTTGCTGGTGAAAATCACATCTTCGGATAAAATCTTGATGAGAGAGGGAGGAAAAAACACAGAGCTCATGGAGATCTTGATATCCGGGATGCTTATTTTCATAAAGTGATTCATATGCCCTGCAGGACATATTTCTTGTTCCAAGTGGATAATTGCCATTACACGTACAGTGTTTTGCTATTCAGCTTGTTCACAGAGCCAGTTTTTACAAAGGATTTCACAATAGTGCCTGTCTGTTAACTTTCAGATGTGCCGCTGTGCTTGGACAGCTGGCTGATTGTGGAAAATGTTACTAAAAGAGTAAATTAATTTAGTGTGTTCTGCACTATTGACTTAGGCACAAAGAAAAAGTAAGGCAGTGCTGATCTTTCAACAGCAACCAGGGAGTTTGTAAAATGGTTGTAAGCCTAAAATATCAATGGTTTATACATGAGAAGAAATTTTTTTGAATCTGTTCTTCTGTAGCTAGTCCCAAGCTATACATTCAACTCAAGTTGCTAAATTAAACTATTTCCCTTTCCTTGAAGTTTCAACCTATTAACAGAGTGAAAGTCTTTGTTCTTCAAATAAACAGTGATAGTGGTTCATGGTCCATTGTCAGAGTTTTCATTAGGTTGAGGGAGATGGATACAGATCTGTAACAGGTTTTTATTCTACCCTGCCTTTCTTGAGCCCGGTGATAACTACCTCTGCATTAAGGTATGGTGCTCATTAAGGTATGGACTTGGAAACAGAAAAATATAGTTGTGAAACTTTGCATAAATGTTCTGAAAACAATAACAGTCTGAATGTATCTAATCTCAATTCTAAGGGTCTTACTGTACAACACAATTGGCAAGTCTGCTGCTGTGTCTTACTAAATTAACAAAGCAAGTTCTGCTCTGCTGTTTCAAGAGATTTTATTACTTGTCACAAAATACAGTTTGTGTCTCAGGTGTGTGAAAGGAAAATGGAATGGGGTGTGTCCTCTCCACCGTGTTTCTCCCAACAGAAAGAATAGAAAATATTTCTACATCTTCTGAGTGGGCCAGAAATTGGGTCCATCTTAAATGTATTATTTGTTCATTTAGTTATTTATTGAAGTACTGCAGGACTTCTCTATGTGTTTCTTCTGCTTTTTTACCAAAGATTCAGATAATCCTGAAACAGAATTCAGACTCAGTGTGGTCAAGGTGATTTTAAAGCTTGTCTCTTAAAATAATCTTTATATGTTTACCAGTTAACTGTAAAGATACAGTGTCACAGCCTGTTTTATCTGTCCATATGCTCCTAATCTGGCAACGTGGATGTTGGCTAAGTGATGTTTTGAAGGAGTGTGTTCTCTGAAGGTCCAAACACTTGTTCTTTATTGAGGAGGGTGTTTTTCTGCCAGAAACGCTTTCCAAAGCAGAAATAATTTGTGGTATTACTATATCAGTGCCAGTTATTACCTTTGGTTCCACGCTTTTTAATCTTCCCTATTTGGGACTGTCAATGGACTTGTAGTCACTTCGTCTATACCATCTTCTCCTTTCTCCAGACCTAAACTTAGTCTTTATATCTGATTTCTGTGTGATGCACTCCTATTTCACTATTTTGTTAATATAGGTCACAGTGGTCATACAGAAAGGTGGAGAACTGAAGACAGGATCATAGGGAAGAAAGGAAGATTTTCTGCCCTTATAGAAAGTAACTATAATCAGTCTTTTAGAATTAAAAGAAAGTAGCACTGAGACAGCGGTATCCAAGTATCATTTAACTTAAAGCATTCACTTTCCATAATCCTTCCCAAAGTTTATTTGCAAAATGCCAAGGAGAAGCATGGTATACTAGATATATGTAAGGTGCTTTGGTGCCAAATTAAAAAAAAAATTAAAAAGTTCTTCCCACCCTCCTCTTACCTTCCACTACCAGTTATAGCTTGTGATGTAGGCAGTGCCAACTCTGCTGGGTTTTCTGCTGTTATTAGATAAGTTTGGCTTGACTAATACAGCGTTGTGAGGTGGTATAGTTCAGTCTGACAGATCAGGTTTCTTTAGTATCTTTTCTGAAAGATGTTCTATGTGTAGATGTCTTAGAGCAGCTACAAATCTTCAAGAGAGATTGAAGATCTGTCTAATCATCTATTTTATAGAGACTTTCAAAACCAATACACATTTTTAAAATGGCCCTGTTTTCTCAGTCATTTAACTAGTTTTTTAGTTGCTCCTTATATTAGTTTCTGCCAGAATCCCCAAGTTTTCAAAGGGTCAAGTTAATATTGAGGATGAAGCTGTTCTTTTCCATAGAGGAATTAGGATTCATTTGATGTAGGCTCCAAATTTATAAAGAGTATCCTAAAGAAGAAGTTGAGGAGACTTGAGAGGAAGTGTTGTGAGCCTTGCTTGAAGGCAAGAGGATATTTATGATTATTCAACGCTTCTGACCAAAGTACAGTTTAGATTAGGTATGTTGCTGTTACTCCCACCAAACCTCTTTATTGCAGGAGAGAAGACTGCCAATGTACTGGGAATAAACTGAAGTAGTTATTCAGGAGGCATGGGGGAAGCTGTCCTAGACAGGAATGGTGACTAGAAGGGTAGGAAGATGACTGAGGAAGAGAGGTGTGCGAGGGGCAGATTTAAGACCACACACTGTTTTGAATACTCTAATTGCATGTATATCAGAAGGCCTGTGAGTGTATTTAAATAAATAAATAAAGATAACTCTTCCCAAATAGGCAGTGGTCTCAAGGGGAAAAAATATTATTTTTTTTTCCCAGGAAGAGAACTTTGAGTTTGTAAGTTATTAAACCTTTTAATGTTAAATTTCATCTTTCAGTATTGCTGTTTTCCTATACATAACTGAATTGAATTAATTTCACTGCTTGCTGTATTTCTTGTGGCTGTTCGAAGGCTTTTCTTACAAGTCTCTTGACCTGGATGATGATGATGATGATTGTTCCTCATCTCATCCCATCCCATCTAGGTTTGGAGGAAATAGCTACAGATATATAACACTCTGCTATTCAGTGTCCTGTGCTCTCACTTGGGCACAAAAATGGTGGTGGGTCTTTTACTACTGCAACACACACTACATACAAAGTTCAGATGACTCATCTTAAAGATGCAGCGACTACACTGGCTATGCTAATGTGCCATATGAGAAACTTTAGAACCACAATATAGACAGTATTGAAATAATTATGTCCAATTAGGTTTTTTAGGCACACTTGCAATCCAACTATTTGTAGAGTTGAAAACTACTATTGTGTTAACTCAACTTGACAACTCACATTCTGTAGATCGGCAGATTTACAATTCAAATGCTATGTAATTTGGAATTACATTGGTATTTGCAGTTCATGAAAAGAAGAAAAGTACAGAAGAAGAAAAGTCTACACATTTATATAGTCAGTCATCCACTTGCATAAATTGTTTGCTACTTATTCCTGTATATTAATTGCCATATAAAATATTTAGGGTTTCTGTAAGAATTGAATCTTCCTGTGAGAGTTTTGTTGTTTTTTTTTTACTTTCACCCTTCTGTAGTAGGTTAAAGTGAAGCATAGTAAATCATTTTCACATATTGGAGAAATAAATACGAGTGCTTAACTTAAATCTTACTTTCTATTTCAAGGCTCCTGGAGCAGCTGGAAAAACGGGAAGCTTAGGGAAGAAACCTGGTGAGTCATATATTGTGACAGCACCTTATATCACTTCTTAAGCACTTAAGTTCAATGGCAACAAAATCTTTTCTATGAAAATAAATTATGTTTGCTCTTGGTCATTTTGTAGTAATTTGCACTGATGAAAACTGTTGTCTATAATAAAATAATGCATAATCTGTCAATCATCCTATCTAGCATGTATCAATCACTAAATTGCATGTAGCTAGAGAATAAAAATCTGCTTGCTCAAAATGAATGTAAACTTCATGATAGATTGATGAACAGAACAGTTGGAAGCCTGTAAAAAGCCCAAGTTTGCCAGTGCCCCTGAAAATGGAAGTACACATTCTTACTTTGTGGTTTTACAGCATTTTGCCCAGCATGTTACGCACTATTGTATACATGGACTCTGTGAGCTGTTGTGCCTGCTTCTTATTTTCAAGAGCCTATACCTTGTATCCAGGCTATGTAGCTTATTGCCTGTCAAGCCTGGTCATATTGCAGAGGTTCATGTTACAGATTACTTTTTGGCTGGAAGGAGGTCCCCTGGCTCTGAGGATGGTGGGGGCTGTCCTTCCAAACAGCCATTGTATTTCCAAAGACTAATAGAAAAGTGCGTTCTCTGCTCCTGGCAGGCATTTATAAACTTTCACATTTATAAACACCTCTTTTTCCCCTTAGTGTATGTATTTGGTTTTGTACCAAAGAGATGACTTTGCACTGAGCTGAACCAAATTAAATAGGGGGTAGTCCATGCTTCTATTCTGTCCCTTTCTCTGAGGCTTGTTCAGTTGCACAGTGAAGTGGTTCAAGGATGTGATCTTCCCTTATTTCCATACACACAGACATGCATATGCATATTTTGTTTTGTAAGCAGGAGGTTTTGCTTTGTCTCTTTGAACTGGTTCACTGTGTAAGTGGAGGAGGGGAGAGTAGATTGCAGCAGCCCTCACTTCATTTGGCTTATTTTACCTTGATATATGAGCAATGGGCTGCTCTTGCCAAATCTTACTGATCCATCTATGGAAGTAAACAATTCCGGCCCTTTCTAACTTTAATTTACATGGTTAATTTAATAGTTAGTGTTAATAGATAGAAAACTTGAGAGAGGCAGACAAGAATAGGGATCTGGAAAACCTCTAGAAGTAATACCTGGTGGGAGTAGTGAGAAGGTGCTGATAGGTCTGGCTGCTTTTTCCATGCGTGGGAGAATGGTGGATGGGAAGACTTCACCCTGGAGTACCAGCCTTATAATCACTGGTCTAGATTTGAACTTTCAATGAAGTAGAGACTGGGGGGATGTTCACACAAGCTGTGTTCAGAATCTTTTGGCATTTAAGAACAGTTTGTGAACAATCCTGCCTATTTTTCAGCCAGGAGGTTCGTGGATGTTTTTGCTATAAATGAGCTCTAAGTGCTCAGCCAATATAAGTGAAATGTTAATGAATGAGGTGGAATATTCCTGTTTATTCCAGAAGCAGCAGGACGAGTGGGTGGGAGTTGGTAACTGTGTGTTGAAGGGCAAGGGACAAGAAACTGCTCTCTGCGAATTTAAGCAGCCATATGAGGACAATTATATCTGTGAGAAGGCATTTGTTTATATTTCTAAATGTACCTGGTTTAGTAGAGGCCACATTTTTTGGCCTCGTCTGTAAATGAATTGGATCTCTTCTCAGTAATTCAATACTTAAATAAATCAAAATTAAAAAGTCCTTCCTGGAAGGAAAGCTATTTCAGTTTTTTTAACTTCTTGGCTGAGTTATTTTCTCTAACTTTCTGCTTCTTTGTGATATGCAAGAGCTGAATGTTAAACCTGTAATTCATATCATAATTTATTTAACACAGTCCACAGTAAAAATTCTTTATGCTGCAGGTTGGTGAAAGAGGATATCTGATACCTGGAACCTTGTATATCATCTTTTGATAGATAAAACCGAGAAGTTTCTTGTTCTAAAAGAGATGCAAAGTGTAAGGTTTTTGCTCTCTTGGTATGATATACTGAATATTATAATTACCATGGCAGTGAGAGAGATTTTTGCTTGATTAAAAAAAAATAAACTTATTTTGACAAACACCCACAGTTAATTTGTTTGGTTGTGTTCATTTTGCCTCTTGAATGGCACTAGGGTGGAGGAATTAATGGGATTCTGTGGAAAAACCTACAAATGCAGGGAGCTTGCAGATTTTCTAGCAGCATAGCCATGTTTCCTGCCAAGTAGCTTTGCTTGCTTTGCCTTTGTACAGGACAGACTGTGCTGCTGCTGGCTTTTCTCTATGTAAACCTTTCTGCTCTCCTATCATCACCTACTATATTTTACTTAGAAATTCTTTTTACTGCCTTCTGCTTTCATACGTCGTGTGCTAAGTTTCAGATCCAGGTTTAAAGCATCTTTCTCTCAGCTTCTGGCTTTCTCATCACCTGTTTGGTTCCATCTCTGTGTGTCTGCCTTTCCCTGTTTGTGTTATCCTGAAGGAGGTTCTGCTGTAGTTATTTCTGTTCGTGTCGTCATTTGCAGTGACCTCAGATCGCTTGTCGTCGTGTTGATTCTTCATCCTCCTTATGTTGTTCATTTACATCTTGAATGCTTCTCTGGCCATTTTTTATTTTCCTACTCATCCTTTTCTTCTAAATTTTAAGAAAACCATCTGATCATTTTCCTGGCGGTCTTCAAATCACTTTGTTGTTTCTTCCCTGCAACAAAACCTCTCTCTGTTTCAAGGGAGTTGGCTTTGTGGTTTCCTCTGCCTACAACTGCCTTTTCAATGATTGCTCCCTTTCTCTGCCTTACCAGCAGACTCCCCCCGCCTTTCCCAGCCTGTGGGTGATGTGTTGTTACTGAGCGCCTTTGCTGTTTCTCTTGGCCACAGGAAATTTGGCTCTTGTTGACAGAGAGGGCCAAGTGGGACGGTGCCCAGCACTGTGTTACTTTCTTAGTACAGCTGCCCATGAGAAGGCTGGAGACCCCATCTGTGTATTTGCTCCCCTTCAGCCTCAGTCCCTTTTGCTCTTGCTGCTGCGTTGACTGCTAGTCCACCTCACACTCACTATCACATTGCTTTCTGCTGTTTTATAGAGGGACAAACTGATGCCAGGTGTGATCTTTTTCTACTTCGTCTTCCAGTGCCAGTTTTTCAGGATAGACTAGATTTAAAATATATACAAACAGTAATCATAAGTGAAGACAACTGATACAGATATATTTTTTTTATCAGCACTTTCAAAGGAAAGCTAAAATCTCAAGCACTGTATTTATCTGTGATCCAGTATTTGCTGAGGTTTTAAATTAAGGTGGCTGTCTTTGCACTGAAGCAGCCGAGACACATTCCTGTGATTTTGTTCTACTGGCTCTGCTTGTTCTAGGGACACTCTTAGACCACAACCCTAACCAGATAAATTCAGTGCATGCATTGGCTGTTTGATGGTCCCCAATTTTATTTGATGCCTTGCCAAATAAAAACCTCATTTGTCTTAAACACAGGGTCAGAATTTACTATTCCAGGAAAGGTTTTTCATAAAAAGAAAAAAAACCCCACCAATTTCACCATTGCTCCCCCTTCCCCCACAACATTGTTCTGTTAAGGAGAATACTTAAGGGATGAATGACTGTGTACTGGGATCCTAAAGTGGAGTTTTCAACACTTTTGTGCTGCTTTGGATGTCTGAGACCCTTTACAACTAAATGAAGGCTGAAAAAAAAAGATTCCCTACAGATTCCACCTACCCCAATCTACCATCTTTTGCTTTTGAAAGATTCCCAATAATCATAGTATTAAACATGTTCTCCATCACTCTAAACATGGTTTGATGACGTGCTAAACCTGACTTGAAAGCTTTCTGAAGGACATAAAATACCTACAGCCACGTGCAAGCTCCTGTCAGCTCAGTTTCATTCAAAAAATGGGCTAACCCTGCCAGACTTTTTGGTAATGAAGTTATCATCTGTCTTTCCATAACTACTGTAAAATGGAGTAAACTGCGTTGTCTGCTTTGGGCCATTTAATGGAGAGATAATTGTGAGCTCCTGGTTACTCTGTATCAGATTCATGCTGGTAGGTGATCAAGTAAGGCACCAGTTTTGTATTAATGTTCATGTAATAAAGATTTCAAAATAAATCCTGTTTGTTACATTTTGAAAACATTTATTATTATTTTTTTCTAGTGCTGAGACATTTTCTGCAGGCCTTCATTAGTCTGCACCTCTGTTACTGCAACTTCGTTGTATTGTCATCAACATCTATCACTTCATTTTAGGGAGCTTAGTCCAAACTGATGCTACAAAAACATGTTTATTGGAAAACAGTATTATGACACTTGATTTTAAGAGTCATGTAGCTCTAATGATGGTCGTTATGCTTCCTCTCTATTACAAATATTTTTATATCCTATCCATAGAGCTGCTGCACTTATGTTGTTGTATTCCTGTAGTGCTGTGAACTTCGGTTTAATAATTACCGTATGTTTTCATGGAAAGACATAAACACATAGCAATTTTATGGAAAGAAATAAAAAAGAAATGCAAAATGGATATACTGTGCTAGTCAGAATAGCAGAGTCAATGTTGTATAGAATGTGTTCAGTTTTTTCCAAATTAACTTTTTTTTTTTTCCCCCCCGCTTCAACAGAAATTGCCCAAGTTATTGCCTCTTACACAGCAACGGGTCCAGAACAGCTTACTCTTGCTCCTGGTCAGTTGATTCTTATCAGAAAGAAGAATCCAGGTGGCTGGTGGGAAGGAGAGCTCCAAGTTAGTTACTATTTTTTTTGAAATAAAATTCCATGTAAAAAAAAAAATTGTAATTTTTTAATCATTCAAAATTATTAATGCATCAATAATAAATAATTCTGAAAATGTTCTGCAATTAAGCATTTACAAATAAAATGCCTTTACAAAAATATATCTAAATCCCAGTTCCTTGAGATTGGAACAACTTTGGAGGCCAGCAGGAGAATGCCGTTTTGCCTCATTCTAAGTCAAAGATACCCATCTCACAAATCAGACCCAGCCTGCAGTCCACTCCCTTCTACATTTTCCTGAAGGCTCTTTGAATATAAGAAACGAGTGGATTTTAGGGTCTACTGTTTTGGCTGCTTTTGAATCCTCACAGTCTTGTGTCCAGTACCCTTCTTCATGTGAGCCAAAAAAGAACTTGTCGGGTGGTGGGAAACGCCACCCGTGCAACAGGAGTGCATGGGACTGTTGGGTTAAGTAACAGGGTCTCCATGTGTGTCCCATTCCAATAGTGACCTTGTGTATCACGTGCATTTGTATCAGCTAATAGATGTATATGTGCACTGTGAAAGTGGAAGAAATACTAGGGTGTGCAGTCCTGAATGGCTTCCTAAGAAGCTGTCTGGATTGCTTCAGCCAAAAGTTTGACTATCCCTTTATTGAAAGATTGAGAAGCATTTTACAGCAGTGTTTTTTGTAAAATGACCACCACTTTTTCGGGTAGCTTAATGAATGAGACAGTGTAGAATACCAGTCTAATGGCCTCGTCCCAGCAACAGCTCAATTTCATGTTAGAAAAATGGAAAGAATGGTGTCTGTTGCAAGCATCAGATAGGGCAGAACTTTAGTATTGTATTAGAAGACAATAGATAATAAACTATTTTAACCAGGGGTTTTTTTTGAGTAGAATTTGACCATTCAGAAACTTTGATTCTCAATGACTCAGTGGCAAAGATTCTTTTTTTTTGCCTCTTATTTTTTCTCCCAGTTACATTCTCTACCACTGAATCAGGTCTTGTTTGGTTTGGGTTTTTTTCTTGTGGTTTTTTTTTTTTTAACAGGGAATAAATATTACATCAAAGGATGTAACTGGTTTAGTTTTGCATTGCAGATGCTCAAATTGATTCAAATATTTTTTCCACATTACTACCTGCCCTTTTTGCCCTTCCTGATGATATGTTTTTCATGTCTTTTGTGGAGAAATCATCTTCCAGGATTGATTAGATTTTCATTCTCACTAACCTTTATGCTGCTGTTTATTTCTAGCTTTAAAGAGTCTCATATTAAATGTATTTTAAGATAGAAAATAAGCTTTGCTGGGAAAGAGCTGTCGTGATTACCACTTAGCAGCTAATTTGAGGGTTTTTTTTAAAGATTAATTTTTGGTTGTGTAAATACTCATATGTAGCTATGGATACCTTACTATCTTACCTATTGTTTTACAAGTTAGGTTTTTTCTTCATTAGCAGTCCCCTACTTATTCTTTTCATCCATCTGTTTCAGCACTGTAATACTAGTTTTTGTTCCTTTGTTGTGGCAGCACAAAGGCTAATGCAGCAGTATGGTGAAATATTTTGAGGAATTGATTAAAAATACAAGCAGCAAACCCCCTGCTCCTACAGGGAAAAAAAAAAAAAGTAGTGAAATGGTGACAAGATTTAGAGAACGGCACTAATATTAACTTTTCTTTATGCATTTAATTTTGAAGCAGCAGATTTCTTAGAAATATATGTACAGATCAGTTTCAACCTCAAGTAAATTTTGATCATACTTTCTTAGGAGTCAGGGTGAAGGTAAAGTAAGGCAAATGTGTTAAGCATTACACATTTATAAGGTTTAATGCAGTCTTTCAGGGCATCTTAAAATGAATGTTAGATACACTTTAGATCAAATGCTTTCTTTTTCAGTGAGGACAAAGAGGGAAAGAAGTAGCTAAAGAACAGTATGTGTATTAGATGACTCTTTTTTCACTAAAAATAGCATGGTTTTTTTTTAAAAAGGCAAAATTCTACATGCCCAAAATTCCAACCTTCTTCTAACAACACAAAAAGACAATAAGTAGTTAAAAGTAATTCTTAGCAGATTTAATAGATTTAGAAGCTGAGATTTGATTCAAAGTTTTAGAATAACCTTTCTTACAGTAAGAATTTTTCTTCTGATTTTATTTGCAATCAACAGTGCAGCTGGAGAAGTAACAGGATGCCATTTCTGTCAAATTCCTATCCTGTTTTGGTGACACAAACTTTGTCACCCTGGATCAGACCTGCAGTTTGTCTGCCCAATATCCTGTCTCTGAGGGTGACTAATGGCAGCTGCGTTACAAACTGTGGGGCGCTGCTGTTCTGCAGGTGTATGGTAACCTCCTGCTCTCTCAGCACACACACGTGGACCACACGCACGCTAATAAATGTGTGCACCACGTTTTCATACTGATGTGCTCTGATTAGATAGATATGAGAACATCTAGTGTACTTTCCAAAACCTTTGCATCTGTTAATTAGGATATTTTGGACAGTGTCTATCTGTATTTGTGGTTGCCAAACCTTATTTTTTGTTTGATTGGAATCTGGCTTTGGGGTTTTGTATTTGAATTCAATCTTTACACATTTTTTTCTTGCCATGATGTTTTGCTGTTCTTCTAGCACTTGGTTAATGTGACTCATATTTATACTCTGTTATTTGGGCAGGAGAGACTATTAAAAAGACTATTTTCTTCAAAAGAAAGGAGATAATTGGGATTCTTAATTTCTACTTAAACTATTGCAATCTAGGTACATATTTAAATATAATGCTTTGCATAATGAAAAAGCATTTAAAGGCTGCCACTCACTAATGCAATAGCTAGCCTAATATTCTAGAATTATGTTTTAAACAGAATCAGGAGAAATCTTTTAGAAGGATCAGGTTGTATTAATTTTAAAGCACACAAAGTAGTATCATTAATGAAATGAAAAGTCACTCAAATGGTAGTAAATAACTACTCTTTAGATATTATAAACTACTGTTTATATATTATGAAAGCTAACTTCATGTAATAAAATTATCATGATATTAAACTATTGCCACAAAAATACTTGACTTTTTCCTTATAAAATAGATTTTTCTTACTCTAAAACAGTCAGTGTGACTGAAAGTATTGGTTGAATTACCTTGTCTAAAGATCTATTGATGTGCTTAATCCTCTTAAAAGAATTGTTTTTCTACTAGGCGCGAGGGAAAAAACGGCAGATAGGATGGTTCCCTGCTAATTATGTAAAACTTTTGAGCCCTGGTACCAGTAAAACTACACCAACCGAGCTACCTAAATCAACAGCATTACCTTCAGGTAAGTGGGGTGGTTGCATTAACAAAGTTGCTTTTGTAATGTGTGTCATTTACAATAGGACTTCTAAAAATTATTAAGGATATTCATCAGGATATTTAGTATCTGTTACACTACTCACTTTGTCGCTTTGGTTAAACTCTTAATTTTTTTTTTCTTTTAAATGAGATGAGCATATAACTGGTCTCTTTATTTATGGTGGTGGACCCTTAGGTATGAACTGTGGAGTGCTAAAAAGCTATCTGTGACATCTTAAAGAGTAAAATATTCAAATTTTCAGTCATATTTATTTGCTCTAATTGTAGTAAAAGAGTTTTTAAAGGTTCAGAATGGTCCATGGACTTTGCAGTTGAAGCACCTCTCATTGAGAACCTTTTTCCAAAGATGAAGTGTGAGAAAACCACTCAAATGAAGATGTAGTTTTTTGTCCTATAGAGCTACTTATTTTAAAGTTTGTTAAAGGATACAAGAGCAATAGACAATTATGTTTTTTAAGCTGTTTGTTACAGCTCCACCACAGCCAATGTCAAACAGTCCTGTCAGTCTACTGCAAGGTATAAAGACAGGCAGAAGACTGAGAACAAGAAGTTCATTCCTTGCAGCTGTTTCAGTCTGGAACCATTTTGGGCCTGTGAGATGGTCTAGTACTAAGTAAAGATGATTGTTGTCAATCAAAAACATGTAAAATGGATTTGTTTCTTCTATGACCCACCCAAAAAACTTGATGTGGTTGTCTGTCATCTGTTTGGATTTAGTTGGGGATGGCAGGGGGCAAAGGCTTGCTGCTTCCCCGGGCCATTTTTTGACTCTCTATCATTAAATGAAATAAATGTTTCTAAATGAAAAATGGTAGTGAGCATAATTTTCTTCTTTAAATATGCATGAAGGATCATCATGCAGTTCATGCAACTAGAATAAAATACTGGGGTATGAGTTTCTTGTGTCATTGCTATAAAAACAAGTACCATATTAGAGAAGGCAAATGTTATAAATGGTGCTACATGGCCCCTTTGATAATAGTCAGAAAGATGCAGAAAATCACACTTCTGTAAAGACTCATGAATTTGGGTCCTGCAGTAAAAATGATAACTCAGCATTGAGACACATACTATTTTTTTACAAGGCAATATGATGGGATTATTTTATTTTTTTTTAGGTTTGACAGTCTGGCAGTTTTCACACATGCTAATAAAACTTTTACAGAATAAACTTTTTAGCACTTCTTTTTCATTGCCTACAGAATATAAAAATCTTAATGACATTCATTTTTATCAAATTCAAATTTTATAGAACTTTCATTTTGGAGGATAAAAAGAATTATCTTGCCTTTCCATTATGATAGATGGCCTCACTAACCGTGTGGCTAATGTAAAAGGTTAAAGAGATTAATGCTTGAGAAGCATTTTCATAGCGAAGGCAGTGGGGATGCTTACTATAGCAAAGGACATGGAAGGCCTGAAGAAAACCACCTACAAGGGTTGAATAATGCCCAAGGTGATGCATTGTGAAGGGTCCGAGAGTGCTGTTACTGTCTGGGTTTTGAAGATAGGGGATCCATCAGAAAGTACTATCACCAAAACCTCTGTTTCTTTTGACATTTTATTTTGATGTATATCCTTTCCATCTGCCATACTGTAATGCAAACTGCATGACTCTAACTGGTTTTTGTTGTTTGGGTTTTATTTTAATTATGTTGCATGGACGCTTTTGCTTTATACTTTGAGGTTTTCTTAATTTCTGACTGCTTTGTATGTGTTCCCTTCTAAACCTGTGCCATGAACCTGTCCTTCCTGGTGTTGAGAAATGAAAAGAACTGTTACTGCTACTGGAAGCTAGTCAGGCATAAGGAATGACACTGGAATCCCACAATATAGGGATAATGGGAAACACGTTTCAATCATTCTGTGTGTTTAAAGAAAGACAACATCATAGATTGTACCGGTCGTGAGTGTTGTATGAGAACCTGGATTCCCCCTGCTGTTGCAGCAGGACTAGTATTAACCAATAGACAGTCTTTCTAAAAAAGGAAACAAATGGCTGAAAAGTACTGGAGCTCAGAGAAGGTAGACTATAGATTGCTTCTGTAGTTAGCAGTGGCTTTTGGAGTTTAAAATAAGTGAAGAACTTTCCTGCTGGGACTACTATAAGAACTTCCTGTGTAGGACTAAGGTATATTCTAAGCTTTGCGACCAAGTGTAGATACGATCAAGATGCTTCAGGCTCAATTGAGGTGTCCTATTTCTTCAAGAATTCTCTTAAATTACTTCCCAAAGTTTAAGGTGATCCTTGTGATCCCATTGGAGTATTTAGATATTTTGATGATACTACTGAACAGTACCAAATTTCATTAAAATTATTTGAATTAGAAGAAAATTATCTGCATGAAAAATTCTTGAAAGAAATTAACTCTAGAAAGGTTTACAAATCTGTTAATGTTCATATTGTATTCAGGTAGGGTCTAGCTTAAACTTTTTATTGTCCTTAATATTAGTAATGACCTGTAAGCCTACTACAAGAATGCTGTAGAACAGATGCCTGGGTTTTTAAAGTGAAACATGAACATCAGTGGTGTTCACACATTTGAATTTGTGTTAGCACAAAACTACCAAAACCAGAAGTATACCAGTATGCCAGGGGAACATACAGTTTGATAAGTTAATGTGTTAGGTGTGACAAATGACAGTGAGTGCCCCTTTTTAAAATTTTTTTCCCTTTTTTTTTTCACCAGTATGCCAGGGGAACATACAGTTTGATTAGTTAATGTGTTGGGTGTGAGAAATGACAGTGAGTGCCCCTTTTTAAAAATTTTTTCCCTTTTTTTTTTTTTCCCCCTTTTGCAAGTAACAAAGCTAAATTTTGAGACACATGCAGAGTCCTGTTAAATGGGGAGTTTATTTTATTTTAATCCTTGTGAACAGGCACAATGTATTAACTAAAAGTAGTTGAGTAATTTCTGAAATATAAATTGAAAAAAAAAGAGGAGCTATTTCGCAAATTTAAGTATGTTGCTGGCTGAGTACAAGAAAGAAAATAAAAGAAAATTTTAGGATTAATATAATGGAGAGAACCTGACAGCAAGGCTAATTAGATAGAAGTTTTGTGTCTCAAGGCAAAATACCAGAAGTCCTGTGACTTGGCATAGAGACAGTATCAGAGAAATAGAGGAAATTATATATTCAAATAAGCAGTCCTGCTGCTTTCGAGAATTAAGAAAACTGCTCTATTATAATTGAAAGAAACAGCCATATTCTTGAGAACCAGCCAGATTTGATGAGTTTCACAGTAAGGGAATAGAAAATAGGCTGCTGGAAGCAGTGCTGTGGTGCCAATAGGGCAGCCTCAGTGGCCTTGGGTTGCTTTTTTTTTCCTCATTCTTTCCAAGATCTTTGTGTTCCTGATGTCTTAGTGGTAGTGCAGGGATATCACCATTGGCTTTCTCTTGAATTACACAGCTGTGTTGAGCCTGTCCAGTGCTAACAAGAAAAGTGCCTTTTTCGGGCTTCAGGCAGGGGAACTTACTTCAGGAAACTTAGTTTCTGAGACTTCTGTCCATTGACCAGTTCTGTTGGAAAGGATACTTTTCAGAACAGGTTGATGACGATGCAAAATGCTATTTTTATAGATGTGCAACAAACGTGATGCTTTCTGGGTCAGGGGGAAGGCGAAAGAGAAGTGTCAATAGAAAACTAATGTACAACAAATGTGATGCTTTCTGGGTCAGGGGGAAGGCGAAAGAGAAGTGTCAGTAGAAAACTATTCTTGTCCTAAGTCCTTGAAATGTTTGAGTTTTCCTAAAATTTAAAATTTTAGCAAAATCTTCTCCTACTGTTGAGGACCTTCAAACAAAACCATCTTGTGTGCAGTTGCAGGCAGCAGAGTTTGCACTGCCTGCTGTGCTCCCTGACCCCTCAGTAAGCTGACTGAGAGCAAGGCCGGTAGGAAACGTTGGGTTTTTTTAATCACCTTGAGTCAGTTTGTTGAGTGCTCAGCTACAGGGGCACAGGACCGCAACAGGACCGGTTCAGATGAGTGTAGTGTCCTGGAACTATCCTGTGACATCTGTAGGGTTCCTGGTTGGTTTATGCATAGCTTATGTTTTGCTGAGACTTTACCAGTGCGATAGACCTCTTCCTTTATCTTCCAGTGTGCCAAGTAATTGGCATGTATGACTACACTGCACAGAATGACGATGAGCTAGCGTTCAATAAAGGCCAGATTATAAACGTCCTTAACAAGGAAGACCCAGACTGGTGGAAAGGGGAGGTGAATGGACAAGTGGGTCTCTTTCCATCCAACTATGTGAAGCTGACAACAGACATGGACCCAAGCCAGCAATGTAAGTGACCCTCTCTGCTGCCTTGCTGTGATTATTTGTGCAGTACTTCAGGATAAAACATGCAGCATTGCTGTGATTCTGCTGTGGTTTGCAGAACTCAAAGCTTCACCACTTGCTGCACTGGTCAAAGTCTCTTTGAAGACCTTCTGTAATGCAAACCTTATTTTATGTTTGTTTTATTTTTAGTTCCCATCCCCTTTGTAGCATGTTACCCCTTACCATTTTTGCACCATGCTGTTTACATGCCTGACTCATTTTCCTAGCTTGAATTTGCTCATTGTTTTGTTTTGCTTATGTGTTGTTTTCCTCCTTTTTCTAGGAATCATATGTTGTCCATCCCCCACTCAGGCTTGAAAGTCCTCAAAGAGACCCACTATCCCATATCACTGCCCAGAGGGATGATGGGAGATGCAGCCTTGATCATGTGGCTTCCAGCATGATCATCTACTGCCTTCTGAGTAGAAGAACACACTGCAGAGCAGTTTACCTCATTTTACATTAGTTGCATGTAATCGCAATGTTTGAGTTAATTACCTACAGATATAGACGCAAAATTAAAATGAAACAAAAAAACACACAAAAAAAATCAGAGGATAGTGGGTCCTTTTGTGGCTTTCATAGTTACCAAACTAATTTTTCCACCTTTGCACAGGTGCTTCAGTAGTTTTAAAATTATTTTCAAATATATATTTTAGCCTTTTAAAGGAAAAGTATAAATTAAATTCCTTCATTGCAATTTTGTTTGTGCAAAAAGACCCACTATCAAGGAATGCTGCATGTGCTATTAAAATTGTTCCAAATGTCCATAAATTTGAGACTTTATGTATCTTTCTTTTTTATTGTTCACTTGTCCGGTGTTGTCAATATGTCTTTTTTTTTTGTCTTTTTTTTTTTAATTACAAAAGAACAGAAGGAGTTAAATCAGTTTAAGGACCTTTAAATGTGCCCAATTACAGATAAGGTATTTTGTTGTAGTTATTGTACTGTATGTATCAGGTGTTCCTTGTTGAGTGTGTAATACATTGTGGAGAGAAGAAATTAACTTCCTTCCAATGCAAGAGATATTAACCTTGCATAATGTTGTTATCCCACTTATGTTAATTTTATTTTGCACATTACTTGTAGCTGCATACAGTTAGGAAACACCCTGGTTTGTGTTTGTCTCAGATGTTTCAGTTTTTGCATTTTCGTATCAGAGATCAATAGAATGCTACATTCGTGTGGGATTTGAGAATTAACTTCTTGATTTTCATCTTGGTTACATGAAGTTTGATTTCTCATTTTTACTTTCTTACGACTATGGAACAACACATTTTGAACAAGTAATTTTCCTGACAAGAAAGAATGTATAGAAATATCTCCCTGCAATTAATTTCCAATGTTTACATTTTTTTAAACTAGACTGTGGAATTTATACGAATTAATATTAAACGGAGCTTACAGTCAAGTTTATGTAGTAGATGTGCTGTGGCTAAGCCATGTTTGTCTTTCCAGCATTAGTTACAAGCTCTCGATGAAATGCCTGGTGCTCTCAGTGCAGAAACCCTCTCTTCCCAATGCCTCAAGCACAATATAGCCGTTCTACTAATTACTTTACCATTTAGATATGTTCTGGTTTATGTATTTCATTTATTTCTAAATTTCATGCTGGCAGTGTTGTAGCGTTTCTAATCCTACCCCATCTCCCTCCTTCTGACCCATCATGCGGTGCAAAGAACAAGTGAAGCTCCTTATTCAATTGCACTTCAGTATTTCATCAATATGAATGTAAAATATATAAATATATAAAAACCTGCAGCTTTAACAACTGTAATACAGCCTTTAAAATTAGTTACATGTATAGATAATTAAATTCTTCATATAAAAGATAGACTAAAATGTGTTTGTTGTCTTGTTGCTGTGTACACACAGAATTCACCAAGTGGCATTAGTGCATGTAACGAATTTGCCACCAGAACAGCCTGCAGCCCACCTGTTTAATTTCAGTGACACTTGTTTTGTTTCTTTGAATATTATTTCAATATAATCGCGATCAATCTGAGTAATTATCTGTGACCTTTTGCACCTTTCTTTATTCAATGCTTTCTACATGTTACAAATCAATTGATATTTTTTGACACTATACCGGTAGGTGAATTAAGAATACTTTGTTGTTTTACTATGGGTTTACATTGACTTAGGCTCTGTGTTTTATGCCAGAAGCTCTAGTCTTAAAACATGCACAATTGCACAGATTTTCTTTCTTTTAAGGGTAGTACTTAACATGCATGAATTTTTCATTTACCTCTGTGCCATAAAAAAAAAGTTTTCTTCTTCACCATAGCCACTTGCTGAAAAATATGCTGCCTAATACGACAGAAATTCAGCAGAACGTAATACTTGTAATTTTCAGTAGCTGTTGTTTTGCTTACTGAGAATGATGTAGCCAGATTTTGCTCCACTATTTCAATATTTTTTGCATTAAGATGTTATTTTAATGAAAAGGGTATCTCTATTTTCCCGTAATGAGCTGTTGTGTTGAAAGATTTATAACTTGACTAAAAATGTTTGTCCTAAGGGGTCATTTTGTTTTTTATGACTTCAGGCCAGAAACATACTTTCTCTACATATCAAAATATTGGCAATACTTTGGATATAGGGGATTCAGATGCCGCTTTTTTTTCCTTCACTCAAGTGAGAAGAAAAATAAAGCTCTTACAATAATTTGCAGGCTATGTGTTTCCTAACATGCTGCTTAAAGCTGCTGAAAGTGATGGTTCATAAAAGATTCTCAAAATCACGGTTCTCTAAAAGTTCTTGGGGTCAGTTTTCCGCTGAAGTGAGAAGAACAGCCTGAAATTGTCCTTCTGTAGATAGACAGACAGACAAACACACACATATGTGTACATACACACTCCCCAACATACTCAAACAGCAGAGTACTGTGTATTACTCAGCAACAGCTTTATCAATCAGTCTATTATTGTTGAGAACAGGAAACTCCTGGAAACCTCAAAACACATTTAAAATGTCCTAGACAAAGATATTCAGACCATTGTGGCTTATATCGACATACCTTGTTGAAACACCTATAATGGTTTTTACTCGATTATTAAAGTTCTTAAGTGTACTACTCTAACTTGGCATGGTAGTGTTTAATCTTCCTCGTAATCAGCTTTTTCCCTTGAGCAGCAGGGAACAAGATATTGCACGTTTCCTTCCTTACCTGTCTGGATTATTATTTTTTTTGCATTTGTGTGTACATATATATCACACACATATACAGATAGATATATGAGAAAGGGAGTATGATAGCAACTCTTTAATAAAGAAAATGGTTTATTACCATCAAAAAAATAGTTTTTCAGTCTCAATCCAGTTTTGACCATCTCTCCTCCTCCCTGGTGCATCTGAAAAGGTCTTTAACATCCTAAGGCACATGGTCCCGTCCCCCCCCCTCCGATGTCACAGATCCAGACTGCAGCAAGCAAACCTAATTCCAAAAAATGCTTGTCTCCAGTGACAGAAATGTCACCACACACTTCTTTCTTTGCCACACAAAATTTCTGGATTTGTGTCTGCAAAGCCAGTAAACACTAGTCCAGTCAAGGCTGAAACAAGATTTTCACAGACAAAAATAAGAAACTGTTCAGAGGATTTTCGGTTTTATTTGTATTTTAAGTCAACATTAAGAAAAAGAGCTGTCTTACTGCTGCCTAGTCAATTGAACTCATTCTTGGTATTAGTTTTCATTTGCAAAATACCTTTTCCCTTTGCACAGGAGCTCAGGAAAATGAGCTGTCACTTGAGGGATGTAGAAGAGACTTGATTTAGAGACTGCTCCAAGTGGTGGTGGGTTTTTTTGTTCGCAGTTTTTCCCATTACTTTGAGAAGAATTTCACAGAGTCATAGAATTGCCTAGGTTGGAGGGGACCTTTCAAATCATCGAGTCCAGCCATCAACCTAACATTGACAAAACCCATCACTAAATCATGTCTCTCAGTGCTACATCTACCCGTCTTTTAAATACCTCCAGGGATGGTGCCTCAACCACCTCCCTGGGCAGCCCATTCCAATGTCTGATAACCCTTTCAGTGAAAAAATTTTGCCTAATATCCAACCAGAACCTCCCCTGGCACAACTTGAGGCCATTTCCTCTTGTCCTATCACTTGCTACTTGGGAAAAGAGACCAACCCCCACCTCTCTACAACCTCCTTTCAGGTAGTTGTAGGGAGCAATAAGGTCTCCCCTCAGCCTCCTTTTCTCCAGGCTGAACAACCCCAGTTTCTTCAACCACTCCTTGTAAGACTTGTTCTCCAGACCCCTCACCAGCTTCATTGCCCTTCTCTGGACTTGCTCCAGAAATTCAGTGTGTTTCCTCTCTTTCCTCTGGATTCAGCTGATGAGGAAGAATTTCCATGAATGTTTATTCAGGGGATTTGTTCATATCAATTCCAATGCTTTAAATCTGTCCGAGTCAACTCAGAGTCTAAGATGCGGGTTTATCAAGAATGCTTTGCTTTGTCTCCAGAATCAGTTTTATTTAAATTTCAATTCTTTTGGAGCTTCAGTGGCATCTTTCAGTCCCCAGGAGCTCACTGAACACGTTTTTAAATGGCCTATTACCATAACCTTCCTGTGAGGCAGCAAAATAACTGCATGTTCTGGTTTTGTTCTCTGCTTTTAAAGCGGTTCTTTTAATTCTTCATGATTATTGACTCCAGCTATTTAACATCTTGTTAAATAGCTCCTTATATGCAATTCTCTTTGATTACAATAAATGGCTTGTTTTTAACTTTTTTTTTTAGACAACTACAGTAAGTCCAGGGACGGTAGAGCTCAAATATCATTTAATCAGTTGAATTGCAAGCTAAGCACAGGCACACAGACAATGGGATAACAAGCTGCTGCTTAGCTAAATAGAGAGTGCTGAGGTGACCTTTCGATTCCAAACCCTGAAAGAATGTTTTCAGAAGGTTGTCCTGGATGCAGTTAAAAATGTAAATTATTTTCATGAAGA